CAACCGAATTGATGTTAAAGATGCAGGGGAGGGATATTTTCGCTACAGCTGAGGTGCAGATGTTGTGAACCTGCAGGAGGACCTTGACAAATGGTTGCAACAAAGACAGGCTTGCCACATGACAAATTAGTCGGAAAACATCAGTTTGCACCTTTCTTCATAGCTGGTGCGGAACTTGTTGCTAAACCTGAAGGAAAAAATGTCGAGGGAAATTGATTGGCGAATCGACAGGGTTTGTGTGCTTGTGACGCCGTGCATATTTTTCCGCATCGTGTCTCTTTGGTCTAGGCTCGTGAGACTGGCATTTGTCCCATCCGTGAGGCGAATTTGAGTCATTTGAGTCAAATGTGAGTCATTTGAGATAGATTGCATCTGATTTAGCAATGCACCAATGTTTGCATTCAAAAGTCATTCATGATGATCAACTAAGGAACTGTATTCGCAGTGCTTCGATGAACTCATCCGACAGGTTCAGAGTGCTGCCAAATGAATTGTTTTTTTTCAATTTAAAAACATCAAATTGAAGGCAGTACCGTTCTTTTTGAGTGTGCTTATTTGTCAGGTCACCATCATTTGTGCGGAACGTGGATTGTTGCTGCTGCGAGTCAGAGATGAAATCAGGAACCTAAATGTCTCCGGACATGAACCAAAATCGCATTAGTTCCCTTGTAGATGAAGTAGGTGTAAATCAACAAATTTTGCAGGATGACGATTTGCGCGTATCAGAGCCTCTACGAGTCTTCCATCGCATTTGGAATGCGCAAGGCCATGGTGGAAGCATCTCACTGGGGTCAGACGTTGAGCTCCCGGGAGGGACACATGATCAATACATGATCAATATTTCGGATCATTTCAGAATGATCCCGTTTCCTACATTGGAGCGGGTATAAATTCAGCATTTCTTGTGGGGACCGTCGGCAATATTTCTTAGCACAGTGAGGCTCATTTTGGACGGTTCTGGAGAAAACCATAGTGTCAACAACACCCACCACTTTGAAGCGTACCTTCCCAAAGATGTGCAATCACAGGGAAATGCACATTATGGATATTATGGACCAATTTACCTTATGAAAACGATTTTTGAAGCTCGCAAAGTCGACGTCTAGATAAAATAAGATGTTCTTGATACAGACGTTTTCCAAACAAAGCATCACCTGGCCCCGTTTCAGAGCATATTTGCAGGCTATAGAAAACCCATGTTTCAGACCATGTTTCCAGTTTTGAGCCAACATGGGCTGGACCAATTCTGTGTCCATTTGGAGCTTCCTACTGGGCCGTGTGGATCTAGCATTTCTGCAGACATTCGAGTTCTTAAAGAGCTCCGTTTTGAAGCATTAAAAAACGCGTTCTGTATCGATGCTGGTTGATTTGCTAGGCATTGCAAGCAGAGCAGCGCCGCAACCAGCACAACAAGAAGATGAAGGCAGGGCAGAGGTTGACAGGCAACAATCCAACAGTCGCATGCGGCATCCTTTAAAGAAATAGCTTAGACAATCCAGTGCTTTGTCTTTCAAACTTGTTTTGAAACTGCCATCGGCTTGCCTTTTAAGAATCGCCTGTATAAACTCCTCTGAATTTCTGAACCTCTTTCAGCCAGCACAAACTGCGAGGATTTGCAAGTGGCCAACAAGAAGCTTCGAGATGAGGTCGAGGTGATCTACACAGCAAACCTACTTTCATCAATCCTTGGGCTTGTACTCAAGCTGTCACTGAGGAATTGGAGAACAAGATCACTCAGATTGAGAAGCATGAGGCAGAGCGACGTGAGCAAGAAGAGAGGAAGCACAAGGAAGAGGCACTTCTGCACAGATGTATGCCGAGAAAACCTGAACTGAAGTCCAAGTGATTGTGTCCTTGAGGTAGAAATTCTGAAGAAGATGAATGCTCAGCGGAAGGACGCAGAGTTGGTTCAATGAATTGTGCTTTTAAGTCGCGACATGTTCTCCTGTAACACTGCTGCTTCTGCCGCTCGGGGTTACAGCTGGGCAGGAGCAACTGGAAGCCATGCTCCAAGCTCCCAAGAAGTGATCGACGGCCTTGCATTTGTAGTGTGTGCCTGAGGGTTTGATGGGAAAGACCATGTGAACTGCTGATCCGTAGGCAAGGCCTTATCCAAGGGCTAAGAAGCGACGCAGATTTATGCCTATGCATTGGTTTGTTGGCCTATGAAAAACACATTCATCGTTCTGAGGGAAAATCTACCCTACTGCAGCAACATGCTGAACAGGCCTCTTGGACTTCAGATCAGAACATAGACTGTGGCCCTATTGGCCCGCGTATGCGAGCTGGCTATTTTTTTGGGGTATGTAGAATGTTGGTGAAAGGTGCGCGTCTGTTGCTCTACTTCTTTCAGAACATTTGTGCACTCTGAGGTATTGCGTGCTGCAAAAGCGCCACGCATGGTGTGAACATAATTGCGGGCCCGTTTCACCTGCAGGCCGTGGACTGCAGTCTACTTTGCATGACTCCTTGGAGAAATTGCCTGGGCTTGCAGTCTTGGTTGACATCATGTCAAGTATATAATGATGTCCAAGGTCAGCATCTTGCTAGAGCTCCAGTAATTGTAGAATGTAGAATTTCAGTGGCTCCTTCTCGCCTGACTTGTGGATCGCAGCACTTGGCAGACTTCGGCCTTTAGTTCATAGCAATTTCAACCATAGCCCATAGTAGTCACAGGGAAATGATGCTTTGTGGGTTGACTGACACCGTTTCAAACTTTTTTACCGAAATTTGTCCACCCCAAACACCATCACGCTCGTCAACAGAGGAACATGTGATCAAATCAGTTACATAGGTAAAATTACAAAATCATATAATTTCTGGCTGTTCCTATCAGGCACTATACAATGCTATTGACCAAGCAGATCAGCTTCAATTTTCCTTGCGTGCCATGCGGTAGCGCCCCTTGATGCAATTTCTAGTGTGCACCTTTGCAATCACCATTGTTAAACAATGGCGGGCGCAAGGACTGGAGTGTGCTGACTCCCCCGACCTTCGACTTTTTGCAGTCTTTTTGTTCTGCTCACCAGGACTGAAGAGGTTCAAGGGGAGCGTCGCTGGTCAGCTGTGCCCTCGGCCGACTGGTAGCCTAGCGTTGGAGGCCAGCAATGACTTGATGTTTTGAGGCTGGAGGAGTGCTGCGAAACACATGGCAGAAGATGAACGCCGGCGTCTCAAACAAGAGCCGCGATGATGCCGGGGCAATCTTCGAGCCGTTCTTATGGCATTGGGAATCGGGAACGATCCAAGGAATGGGGCGATGAGTTTGAACGGCGCCATTTTGATGGGAACTTTGTTCACAGCGTTGTCTGGAGCTAAGCCTTTTTTCCTAAGAGTTCTCCGAGCATCAATATTCACCAAGCGTTAGTTGGCCTTGGAATGGTTTGATTTTTTCAAATGTAAAGGCCCGCAGAACATTTACAAGCCTTGGCAGGTGGGTGCCCCGAACACTGCTGTTCGGGCCATGAACGATTGGGGCTTGCATCTCAAGAATACTTTGTAGATTTGCTTGGAGCATCTTGGAGCATTTGCTCTCTGAGTACAGTAGGATCTCTTTGCTCTCTTCTGGACTGCTGTTGCTGCTTTGCGTGTCTTCCCACCAGAAACTGCTCAAGACTCAAGCATCTTCACAGAGAGATATATTCAGATCATCATGCTTGCAGAACTCATTGGTTAGAACATGTTAGAACTGGTGTCAGGTGATTTTTTGTGTGTTTTAGATTACCACACAGAAGGTGTACCGGGAATGAGCCAAAGCACGAGAGGTTTGCTGCAGCATTGCTGCAGCTATTGACCCAGCCCGCTGTGTTTGTCCGATTTTGTCCCATGGTTGGCAGCCTGTTTAGCCTCGGCAATGAGTGCCTGTCAGAGAACACGGACGCTTGGAATTGCGACAAAACACTGGCTTTGTGGATTCATGTGTACACGTTCAAAATCGTTCAAATAGATGAATACAGTCTGAATACGATTAAATACTATCCAGGATAGACTATCCATCTATACACCCATATATAGTATATGATTATGGCATGTACTTATACCATTTATATGCAGTCCTCTTGTCAAAGGACCAATTCCGTCATGGCACAAAGGACAGCTATTTGCGAGAGAAGTTTGCCAAAGCTAAGCCCAAGAGCAAGGCCAAGGTCAAGGTGCCTCTGATGGTTTGTAGCTGAACCAGTTGTAGCTGAACAGTCCACAACCTGTCAATTTCTGTTTTCCTTGTGGTACTTCTTATAACACGTCTCAGTGGAGCCGACCTGGAACAACCCAGGATTCATGTGTCATGAATAGCCGAACTTGGCTCAAAGTCGAGATGTCATCTGCAATCATACTCTGTGGTGGTGAGCATGTGGGCATCATTTTACAGTCGCACAAGCACGTGATCATTGCTAGCCAGCGATTTTCTTTAGCATCTGCAATTGATTCGGATTGAACATACTAGAGCACATCGCATTTAGGCAAGCACAGCATGGCATGGACATCTATACAGGTTTTCGGCACGCATGATATGTACAGGGATCTGAAACGTATATATTTCTCTACTAAAAAACCTCCGAAACAACTCTGAACCTTTGGATGCGGCGCAAACTTGTGAAGTTTGCTCGAGTCATTCGAGTCATGGTCTCTTTGGCTCTGGTGGATGATGTGGCACGAGGCTTGAGGTGCTACACTTCTCAAAGGGCTTCACGTGTTGCTCCCGTTGCTCGTGTTGCGCCCGTTGCGCCCGTTGCGATGCAAGCCAAGGGAGCGAAGGGAATGAAGGAAACGAAGGAAACCACAAGTACCACAAGTGGCCTAGCTCCTTTGGTTGACATTGGTGCCAACATGTTGGACCCCATGTTTCAAGGCATCTACCGCGAAAAGGAAAGGCATCCTGCAGACTTTTCGGCAGTTCTTGCAAGAGCTCTCTCAGCAGGTGTCAGCAAGCTGATGGTCACTGCTGGTACTTTGCAGGAGAGTCGCGATGCATTGAAGCTTTGCCGTTCCTATGGTTCCCCTGAGAGATCTGAGATGCCAGAACTCTGCTGCACAGTAGGAGTCCACCCAACTCGCTGCTGCGAGTTCGAGGATTCAGCAGTTGCTGCAGATCCCGAGTCTTATCTTCAGCAGTTGCTGATGGTTGCGCAAGAGGCTGGTGATTTTTGTACGGCTGTGGGAGAATGCGGTCTGGATTATGACAGATTGCAATTCTGCCCCCGAGAAACTCAGTTGAAGTACTTCCAACGACAATTGGCTGATCTAGCAATCCCATTGCAAAAGCCACTATTTTTACACTGTCGAACAAGTGATGCAGCAAAAGATCTTTTAAAGATTTTGACAGAAGCTCGATCTGAACTGCCTTCATGCCCTGGAGTTGTGCACAGTTTTGATGGAAACATTGAAGATGCACACAGCTTTATTCAACTTGGATTCTTTATTGGGATCAATGGATGCTCTCTGAAGACTGCAGAGAACTTGGAGATGGTGAAACAACTTCCAGAGGATTCTATCCTCCTAGAGACTGATGCACCGTGGTGTGGTATCAAGGCTAGCCATGCTGGACATGGGTACATACAGACGACTTGGGATGAAGTCAAGAAGCCTGAGAAGTGGGAAGAGGGCAAATGTATCAAGGACTGGCTTTGGATGGATTTTCTTTTATTTTTTTAAACGCTCTTTTTACATCTCTTTACTTTCACACACTTCTCATAGCAATATCATTTTGGCGTATAGTATTCATAGGCAGGGAGGTAGTACACCAGTTTGAGATTTTGATAAGATGACAATATACGCCGTTGACCTGCCTTGTGCCACTGAATTCTCAAGACATTTGGGGACATTCAAAAATGAGTGTGCTTGCAATGGATCAACAAGAAGTTTAAGTCATCAAACAATGGCAGTATTGGTGTTGAAACATGTCAAAACCCGCTTAAAATGCACCGAAGGACCGCTGTGAACCCTGTCAGATGAGACAGGTGCTTGAAGTGGTGTCTGGATCCCGTGGTGTCAGTCCAGAAGCGTTGGCTGAAGCAGTCCATCGCAACAACGAAGTCTTTTTCAAAAAAAAAAAATGCCGTGCAATGCGGATCAATGCGGATGCTGCAAACTGAGGTCTGTAGCCATGCAATATGTGAAATATGGGTATAGATGGTGTATAGAAATATGGGTATACGGAATGGGTCCAAATTGCAGGCCGAGAGAATTCGGAGGTGTAAATCATAGGTTTCGACCCCGAGCCCATACCCACAGACAAGTACCAGTGCTATATTGTTGAAATCCTAAGCCATTCATGATTACTTTAAGATGTTAGAGTTGCCAAGCTACTGAGCTGGTAAACTTTCTGTACTGTGAGGCATTCGATTGGTGAAATTCTGTTTGTTTGAACAGCTGTTCCTGTTTTTTTTGTGCAGATTTCTTGCGTCGCGAAAACAGGTGCGGAAAGACCCAAGCCGAACAGCAAAGACAGAGCAGGGAGAAAGCAGATCAAAACACTGTGCAGGACCTGCACACATCCTTTGTTTGAAGAGTGCATCAACAGAAGTTCCATGTGCATCTGGAGAAAATCCTCTGAAATCATTGGAGCACTTGGATTTTCTTGAGTCACGTTTCATCCAGACAGGCAGCATCAATTGCTAACTGCACTTGTAAGTACTGAGATTTTCTTGCCTTGTTGCAGGACCTCAACAAGAAGACCTAGATGAGGTTCAACTGATTGTTTTGATGATGTAGTGGTTTACAGATTTATTTAAAAAAACTAAGACTTCGCCTGAAGGCGGAACGAGACTTGCTGGGCTTGTCACGAGAGAGTGATGGGGCAGATGAGCTTCGATCTTAGAGGATCCTGAAAAGGATGATGGAAGTTTTGAGATTTTCGTAGTTACAAGACTGAAAAGGATCCTGCTCAAAGGGGTGCCCAGGACAGAAAAACAACGCTTGGTTGCTTGTGTGTACATCTATGCATTGCCATGCATTGCATTGCACTTATGTATGACTGATATGATCAGTCATATGGGTATGGGTCAATACCTATAGATACATTTTTAGTGGGTTATTCACATCCATTTACCAGCTATTTTGGGGTTCACTAGGTACCAGGGTTTTGACCCATCCCCATATGACTGATGTGAGTGATACGAGTGATGACATTTTACGACAAACAATGACTGATACTGAGGCCTGGTTTCACCTCCCAGGTGAGCGATCGCTTGGAGCCCTTGGATGCAGGTCCTGCGCAGCGCTTAGCGGTGCCGAGTGCTTTGCTCTTCTCCAAACGGAGCTGCTCCGAAGGTCATCAGCTGTGCTGTTCCCTGGCCTTTTGGGAGAAAAATGAACAGATATAGGGAAGAGATAGGAAGAGATGGAAAGAGTAATGTTTGCCGATGTTTGCCCATTTTACCAGCATATGCACTCCTCTTCAAGGCTTTCGATGATGCACTATGAACTGTAGAGCACCAACTGGCGTTTATTCCACGCAAATTCGGTGGAGTATGTGGTGAATCACTTATAACTATCCCACTGAATTTGTTCGCTCACATGTTGCAAGGCTATGTCATCGCCAGAAGTGCAGCCTTGTGCGACAACTGCGACCTGATGCAAAAACCTGGAGAAGTTGTTTTTGGATGCAGCACTTGCGACAGTGAACTCTGCGCAAAGTGTGCTCTGAGTACAGCTACAACGGAAGAAACTGACGAGAGTTTGGAACTGATTGCAAAAGTAATGCACATGTTCTCGGGGGAGAGTGCAACACGCTTTGTTGCCACTCCTACTGGAGCCGTGCTGGATACATCTGTGCAGCCGCAGTTGCCTGATGAGAGGGAGGTCGCGCGCAAAGCTGAAGGGCCAACAAGGAGGGCTTGAACCAATTTTCTTGTTTCGGTTCTCCTTTAATGCTGTCTCTTGTTTCCTTACAACATCATTTCTAAATATTTCTAATTTCTAATGTTGACCGTTTCTTTTTGTACCGACCTGGAGGCGAAGAATTGCCAATGAGGTCGATGACTCTGATTGGAAGCAGCAAACGGGTGGCTATCCAATGCAGGGTGTGTCCGAGGTGGACAAGCCGACTGCCTTCCATTACAAGTTTTGCGTAGTTTTGCGACAAGTGGTTTTCCCATCTAAAGAGGAACACTGCCTTCAACTCCTTCAGAATCCGACACTGAATGAGGCACCGAGATGTACTTGGGGAGCTCTTGGAAGAGCAGGAGCGTATGCAGAGTTTCTTTGCATGATTCGAAAAGGGTTTCACCCAATGTGCACATGTCAAAGCCGTTTGGCTGATGTCAGGAGCGCCCCATTCAAGCAAGGCATTTGGATCGCCGTGGATGCTTCAACTCATCCTATGTGCCTGCAACATCTTCACCCTCTTCACGACACCGCACAGAGAGAGCCAGTGCCGAGGAGCGCTGGCTCACTGTAATGGCACTGGAAAGCCCTGGGGCGGGGTGGAGGTCGGAAATCTTTCCAAAGTCAATGATGCAGAATTCTTGTCACATCTCCACTGGTTTTACATTTTCCAAGTTGCATCTGTTGGCATCAGAATTCCCAGGAGACAAACTTGATGGATGAGAATGCAGCCAAAGAGCGGCCGAGTTGGGCAGTGGATGGCAGTGAGCCAAAAGAGATACCAGTGGTGCCACTGGAACGAACTTTTGCTAGAGCCTTAGTTGTTGTCGTCGCTCCACTGTGTTCAATGCAAGAAAGAACATGGAGTTCCAAGCGTGGCCAGATGGGTTGACTCTCGCAGAAGTCCGTCAAACATCAAACATGTACAATGCATGAAAACATTGCGATTCAGCAAGTTTCTTGCCCCTCAGGATTTGACACTTACACTCACAGGAGACTTTGTGGATGAGCTGGCGAGAGGCTATTCCCAACCCTGGTTCCAAGAGCTTCTCAAGCGCTGTTGCGAAGAGTGCGCTGATCGAGAGAAGTTTCTTGAACGCTTGCAGGATGTGGCCTTTGAGGCTCGTGACGGTCATGATGCAGAAAAAAAAATCGTAAGAAGCTCTGGCGCATTCGAAACAGCTTTAGACCTTATGACTCATGACACACACACACAACATTTTTTTGTTATATACAAACATGATCAAACATGGTTTGAGCTCCGAAGTGGCCGTGGCAAAGCAAGCTTTTTTTTAATGGTGTGGTCAGGTCCAACGACCCATTCTCGAGAACTGGGGATTCGAAGGCAACGAGCAGGGCGTGTATGACATGACCTCCATTCTACTGGAGCACTCCAGGGCTGCACCAAGCTGGCTGCAGGAGAAGATCGATCGCTGCCTCTTTCTGTGGCACAGCTACATCATCGTTTTTGGTTATGGTGATGTCATGGTGTGTTTGCAATTGGGGTCAGTACCCCCAAATGGCAGTATAATATCTTGTAATATATATATACACTTTAAATATCTTTAAATTTCATTTATATAATTGGGAATATGATGATAGGAATTGCTGTACCCCATTTTAAAGCAAACCCATATGCTATCACATGCTACTGACCACTCAGGTTGGCAAACAGAATTTCTTTGTATTGACGGATCACTTGGCCTAGAGCTTTGGATCCTAGCCCACACGCCCACACTGCCGGTGTTGTCTTGTTGATCTAGATATTTAGCCTGTTCAGCTTTGGTCGCACCCTCAAAATCCTGATTGAAGAGCCATTGTCCGTTCTTGCACACCAGTGCTTCGAGGCTCTACGGTGGCCAAGATGGCATTGTTGGTTGGGAAGCAGCTGCAATGGCCCAACGGAGAAAAGGGAGCTATATCACAATTATCACAACAAGGTTTGTTCTTGAGCTTCATATTTCCTGCAACAGCGCACACATTTTGCATTGACCGGGCTTTGCATATAGCTTTAAGGTGATGAAATTGAACGTCGACACTTTGAGGGCAATTTTCTGGGAAGTGTGGTGCTTCTGGCTCTTTTTTCTTACTTGATCTCCGTGCATTTTCCGACTAGTCTATCCATGGCCTCCTTTCTCAATGGCAGGCCCGTGCTCCAGTGGCTGCTGGTGAGGTGGGAACAAAGCTTTAAAACATACAAAGCAAATGATTGCCAACAATTCGAAACAGACCGAAACAGATTCAAAAAGCAGGTCATTTCTGAAGCCATTGGACAGCTGGTGCAGACCTGAGGTTTACCAGCCTGGTTCCCTTGAAGTCACAGCTATTGAAAACTATTCCATGCCTCTCTTGGAATATAGGGCTAAACGGTCCCATGGCGTTACACAAGCTTTCCTTGTTTCTTGAGGTGGACAATTCCTTGGAACCGCTTCCGCCTATGAGTACAGACCCATGGGCAGTAGGCGTGTGAAGCCAAAGCACCTTAAGAAGCAATCCCTCTTCCGAAGCGGAGTAAAATGGCTGCTGAGTTGTTCATACCTTACGATCCTTACGATCCTTACGGCAGACTCTGGAGGCGCCATGACGGGAGAGATGCCAACGCTTCCTACGTATTATGCTGATGTGCGCAGGGCCAATCACTGACAACCCAGTGGATTGCATAAAGTTCCGGCTCTGTCAGTCTACATGCAGCACAGATTGATCATTGGCTCATTAGCGTTATAAAGATTAATTGGAGATTTGGTCACGACATGGCTTGACAAGTAAGCAAGAGGTACAAAGCTACGGCAGATATGGCGAAAGGAGAAGGGATTCAGATGAACGAGGCCGCCGTTTGGCCAACTGAATCCTGGACGCCAGTAAAATTGTAAGGTCAGACGGTTCCTGTACTTCGCAGAGCTGGTAAGCCAAGAACAGCCAGCAGTCCACTAAACAACATCCAGAGCACAAGTCCAAAGCTGTGAGAGGATATGCAGCAGATATGCAGCAGACCGCAACTTCGGTGATTTGTTGGAGACTTCCAATGTGTCAGCAGTACTCTGGGAGTCGGTGCGCAGGCTTTGAACCTTCGTCTCCTTCACAGCCCAGTGCCGCGTTTTGACCTTGGTCAGATCTCAGAACAAGCTCCACGCTTGTAAGCCCTGATGTGGATGTGAAATTATCTCGGTGCCGTTTGAAACCTTTCTGTGACATTGCTCCTCGTTTTTGCAGTTGCACGAATCAAATTCATGCCATGCCTTTGCTCATCTATCCGAAAGGATCCCAAAAAGTAATTGTTTGAAAAGACAAGAGTTGCAGACCTACCGGGTGAACTGTTCCCATTCCTGCAGAACCCTTTCATTCAAACAGGACGTTCTAAGTGAGGTCATCGCACAGTCCTCCGGAAAGCTCTCCAGGTGTGCCATGTGAAGCGGAGTGGAATTCTGAACGGTGAAACGGCGAACCAACGGCAGTTTTGGGCGCAGGAACCACAGGATTTTCGGGACCTGGACTCTTAGTCACCGGCCTACGGCTCAGTTGAGAAGGTACCCATGGAAGCCGGCCGAACATGTTTGCTGGGAACCGTGGTTGTTATGAAGCTGGAGTGAAGGAAAAAAACATAAAAACACTAGGAACCCTAGTTTGGTATAGTTTGGTCCTGAAACAAAATGAAAAAAGTATGAGCTCTGTGGTGCAACATTCAAGGCTGCATAGATCGACATAGTATGGTCAGTCTCAAGTAATTGGCCCTACTGGTTGATGCCTCAGGTCGGACAGCAGATGAGGTTGCCACCTTTATGGCCAGCTCAAAACTGAGTGGTTCATGATGGTTCATGGTTTTTCTTGACTTAGAAGTTAGTTAAATGGTGAAGAACTGGGTTCTATCATCCCCTTATCACAGTCAGAATGGATAACAACCGGCTGTTTTTTTAAAGTCAGCAGTTGTTTTATGTCACTGAAGGGAGACTTGCTGTACCGAGACGGGTTGGATTCGGTTCGATTCTGTACGATGGCCGCCCAGGCTTGCCAGATGGCCCAGGTGTGGGTATGTCAAAAATGTCAAGAATCGAACACCCAAAAGCTGGCACCTGACTTGGCACCAAATCTCGGACATTACTTGATGGACAGGCCTTGAAGAGGTGGCAAGGGATTTGCAGGCTGAAGCACGATGGATCGAACTTGTGGAGATGGTTTTTGAGCGCTGGTTAAATGCTGAATGCCTAGCGGCCAGATACATGGCAGATACGGGGCAGCTGATGCAGGTGCAGTTGGAAGAGGAGCAGGGGAAGCGTCACGGCCGTCTCTTGGTATCACTTACGAAGGCTTGATGAAAACAGTGCTTACGTCGGGTGTTGCAAAGTAAACAGGTAACATTGGCGGCGTAAATCCCTTACCACAAAATATAATATTCTTACCAAATTCCGGTGCAGAACGCACTATCTAGGGATTTTGGTTGGGTTGAAATGCCAAGCAGAGGAACTGAATGTACAGTGCGATTTAATACATAGGCATAGGTTTAGCATGGTTTAGCCGGTTTAGCTTGAAAAACCTGAACCATCAAACATAAATAGCCTGAATCCACTTGCGAATGCTTGGGCTCAATGTCAGATTCCCAACTTGTGATCATGCTTCTGAGATTGCAGTTTTTGCTGACAACTAGTTTGTGTGGGCAGATCGCTTGTCTTGGAGGACCGATCTCTTGCCAATCAAGAGTTTTCATACTCTTCTTGAATCTCATGCTTTGTAATTTGATTAATTTGCCATTAGGGCTCTTCCCTGTGCGAGCCATGGCTTCAACAAACCACTCTGCTGATCTCAGGTGCAGAGGCCCTTCGGGCGCTGAAAGCCGCTCTGCTGGAACTGCCGCGGGAGATTTCCGAGGAGCCTCTGATCGGAATTAGCTTGTCGTAACTTGTCGTATGTAGTTGCAGCTTCTGCGCAGGACAGTAAGCTCTCTTACATTTCACACTGTCGTGAAACATGTTTTATTTTCGCTGCAATGCATTTTTCTGCAAGTCTGATGTATTCTGAGCACCAAAAAGGAGCAGCGACTGGTAGACATCTCTGCAGGTGCAGCCACTAATATGTTGAGACACCTCAAATCCAAACCTTCAGATGTGTCTTCGGCTGAATTCTGCTGATTACTGTTGGTTGACTTCAACAGTCCGGCGCAGCACAGGCACTCGAGCTGCTTCAGAAGCTCGTGCCGCTGCTGCTGGTCGGGCGCTTCAGACGCTGAAGGCAGGGCCGTCGCCTGTGGTTTTTCCATGTGCCACGGATTGTCCTTTGAATCGAAGGAGCACCACCATCATTTGAAAGAACAGAGAGAAGCACAGCTTGAAGAGCACACGGCCTCAGTATTCATGCAGTTTTGAAAGGACTGTTTCGAGCTTCGCACAGTTGGGAAAAGTGTAGTTAACAATGCAACATATGCGACATACCACGCGCTGCATGGCGATGAAGATTCAATGCTGATGCAGTTTTCCTGTCCCATCCTGTCCCACATGGAGTGGCTAAACGGCTAAGGCGTGAGCAGCTGGACGCTGCCAACGCTGCAGCTGCAGCTGCAGCTGCTAGGCAGACACAGCTTGCGACCGTCGGGGCGCATAGTTCAGGTTCTGTTCAGGTTGGACTGCTGGAGCGTTGGACGTCGTTGGACCATTTGAGCATAGTTCTCCGAAGGAGCTGTGCTCTATCGCTGGGTATCCTTTACCTTAGGCTCTAGATCTGAAGCAGGTTGCGTGGATTGATGGGCACGTTGTAAGTTGACTTGAATTCAAAGCTGTTAATTCTTCTTCCAATTGGCCCATTGGTATCATTGGGGAGTGGTTCTATGTGGTTCTATGATTGTTCTATGTGGTTCTTCAATCCCGTTGGCACTGGTCCGATGGCTTTCCAATAGCAGCAAGAACGAACTGTCTCTAAGGGTTGCGTGCGTGAATGGGCGCGCGATGGCCCAGAGACAGAGGCCCTCAAGGCGGAGCCAACGCATTCCGGTGACGGCATTCGAAAGCGCTGAAGTCACAGACAATGAGATGAGACAAGTTGAGAGTATAGACAAGTCTTCAAGTGTTTAAAGATGTTTAAAGAGTTTGCACTTGAAAACCATTGAAATATGGAAAAGTCGGAAAAGTCAAAAAGGTGTATCTTTATACGGCTTCAGCTGACAGCCTGACAATTTGACCTGGCTCAGGAGGCGAAAATTGAGCTTGCCGAGCTCCTGGCTGAGGCACTCTGTTCATCCTTGAATCTGGGGCCAAACTTGGCAAATCCCTACATATTTGGCAGACATCAATGAGACATCAGCGAGACATCAATGGAATTTGTCAGAATCAATTTCGGAATCATTGGATATCTTGCAGTATAGGAATGTTTTTCAGATTTTCAGATACGCTGGTCACTGATGTTCAGACATGCTGGACATAGTGACCTTCGCCTCAGGTGGATGAGGCGCGGCTTCATCGTCGTCAAGAGCTAAAAGCCTTGAACCAGGCCTGAATCTGACATAATCTGACATAATCTGACATAATCTGACCTCTTTTCCAGTGGATTCAGGATGACGCAGGAAACAGACATCATGGGTACCCAAACTCTGGGTGTCTCCAAGTCTAGGAGACCACTTCCACTTTCTTTCAAGGCATTGTGTGAGCGCAGAGTGATAGCCAGTGCTAGCCCCCTTTCTCAAAGGCGGTGGAAGCCACAGAGACCGAGAACAAATGGTATCGAGCTGGAGGCAGGACGGCAGGATCCATGTGTCAATCCATGTGTCAATCCATGGCTTTGGTGTAGTCAACTCCTTGGGAGCCAAGTTAATTCGAAGTCTCCGAGGGCTTAAGCCAAGAATTCAACGTTGCTGCTTGCTTGGCCTGTGTCAACTTTGGCGTTCCGTCAAAATTCATTTGAGGTCATGATTCCTACGAGGCCAGAGCTGGAGCCTGTTCAACGTGTTTCAATCATATCACCTGACTGGCCAACAGTTGCGGCCAGCTTGGTCGATCAGTCACCACTGGGGCCATGCTGGGCAAGTTGAGGCACCCGAGTCATTCAGTGCCTCTTTGCGAAGGCTCTTCACTGTAGCTGGAACCTCAGCGACGGCTCAAGGGTTTTCCTTTCAGTTACTGGCAGTTAATGTGTTGTCCGTGCTTTCCGCAAGCCTTGTGTTTTCGTAAAATAGAACACTGTGTGATGAGACACTTCATGGTGCTTGTGCAAACAATACAATACAGCACCCAGGCAATCGGCAAGAGAGACCCTTTCCCAGCTTCAAGCTGAAAGAAAGACAAGCGAGAAAAAAGTGCACACATTGCACACAAAGTTCATGACGTCTGCAGCTGTAAGGTGGATATGCATTTGAACACTTGGCTTGCACCCTTTTGGAGATTCCACTATTTCTGACTTGGGTGGCCTTTTTCCCCTTAATCATTTGAACGACTACGTAACAGCCGTAGGTTTTTCCCTGGGGTGGTACAGCAGTTCTGTCCGGGAATGGTGAGCCTTGTCCGAACTAGACATTTCCTTCATTTCTTCCATGTCCGCAGCATTTGCACTTACAGGTGATGCTTTGAAGGCTCACGTTTTTCGATGACTGAGCCTGCTCGTCAAACCTTCCCGGTGAAGGTCTTGCTTGGACGCTTAGAGCAAGGAGCTACAGCCCCGTGGTCCAGCTATTTGCCTGATCATCTGCGTCCCAAAGGAGTCTCTGCCAAGGTGTTCGAAACAAGCGGGAGCGCAAGCTCCTCCAAGGCTAAGGCAGAAGCGAAACCGCAAAAGAAGGAATACTCACCTGTGGGCATCACAGTTCTTGGCCGCGTTTGGGAATATTCCCAGGATGCAGCGGGATGTCGAGAGGTTCAGCATGCCATCGATGTAGCTGATGAAGAAACACAGCTTCGCATAGCTGCTGAACTTCAAGACCATGTCACTCGTCGTCATTAAGGTTTAGGATTTTTTATGTGTATATATATATAGACATAGATATCTAAGGAATGACCATTGACCATTTTGTTGCATTGGCATCCTGCTGAGCTTTGAAGTTTAAACTTGGGGACACCACCTGATGTCCAAGGTCTGGGATGCCGCTTCCTGTCCACATGCCAATCATGTACTGCAGAAATGCATCCTTGCTTCTTGGCCACCAATCTTGAGTGCTGGGGCAGGGGGGCTCGGTTCATATTGAGCTTGACAGGCCCTGTTGGTGGAACATTCCGGCACTTCTGTACCACCAGGCATTGCATCCTAGACATTCGCAGTTCATCCTGGATGTCCTCATGCGTCAGCGGCTTGCTTCACAAGCAGCCAGGCATAAGACTCTTGGAAGCATTCTCGAATGTTGGGCGACCTCTAAGTGGAATCATCCTCATCAAGGGACACACACGCACACAGACATACATAGATAAATGTAAACAAGATTACTCTCTCTCTCTCTCTAAAAGAGAAGACTTTAAACCAACTGTTCACAGATTGACCAACAGAAATTAGCAGTTGTACCTCAGAGGGGTCAAGGCAGCCATAACTGGCTGTATTTCCTTCGTCGCATGCAGCAACTTGGCAATGACTCTTTTTTCGGAGCGCTTCTGCATGATCGAGGTACGCATGTCGGATAGTGCAGCGGCTCATAGAGAGGTGTCCACTCGAACAGACAATAGGACTTCTGCAACCTGGCTATAAATTGAACCTTGTGGCAAGCTGGACCAACCCAAAGGGGGCGGAGATTGCACACACACAGCAGATGGCATGTGTGCTCAATATCTCAACATCTATTTTCCGACGTCTCCTACCTTCGAAAAAAAATGCGAATGACGTCCATAGCGTTTAGTGGAGTCCTCCCACTAGTTCTGCTGCCATGAAATGTCGTATCAATATATCTAATATAAGTAGTGTATTATAATATTGATGATAGATATACAATAGATACTGTAGATACTAGATATATGATATATTAATACAATAGATATATAATATATAACATATATATATATATACATACAGGTAGCAAATATAATATATATATATATAATAGATACACTATATATATAATATATATATATATGTAATATAATAATATATATATAGTAATAATAATAATGATAATAATAATAACAATAATAATAATATATAATATATATATAATGGATACATAACATATATATATATATAATATAGTATAATATATATATGATATTATGATATATCTGATATAATATGATATAATATAATCTAATAGAATATAATATAGTATAATATAGTATAGTATAATATAATATAATATACTATATATAATATAATATAATATAATATAATATGATATAATTTTTGGTATAATATAATATAATATAATACAATGTAATATAATACAATATAATATAATATAGTACACATATATATAGAGAATAGATATAATATATATATATAACAGATAAATAAGAGAAATAAAAAACAAATAAACTAGATCTACAAGCGAAAATCTGTCGAAGAGGAGATTTCAGGTACAGATATAGCTACAACTTTTCTACAAATGAAATATAAAAAGTTTATAGAATATATTTTTGTGGGTTATATAGAACATATTTAATGTATGTAGCTATATATAAGAATATGCGCATTTGTGTGTATATATATATGTGGTACAATACCTATAACATGTGTGTATATATATACTTAACATACGGAATATGTCCATGTATGTGTGTATATATATAGGATACAGTTTGGTGCTGGTTGGTGGCACCTTTTAACCACGTTTGTGGGTAAGGCGATGTCTTATTGCTGATGTGCTGCCGATTTCTTGCCATGCCTACGGCAACTATGTGACTTGACCGAAGATGGTACATGATTGAGCAGACTGTGTTTGAAACACAGATATCAGAGATAAACAAATCATTAGAATGTCCAAATTCACAGAGATCTCAGTGAGTCTCCGTGAGTCTCAGAGTATTTTTGCTTCTCACATTATGACTTCTTTGAAAGGAACCTGATGAGTTTACCGAGGTGATCCAACATATTCTGCAGCACAGTTCACTGCAAGGTGAGTTGTGCGCTGCTCTGGAGGAGCCTTGCCAAAAAAGGATACTCTGGGGGTCAGAATGGTGGACAATGGTGGAATCTATTAGTAGCACTAGTTGTGCTCTCACTGTGGGGCAAGTTTCTATTTAGTTGATGTTTGTGGCAATATTCCTATTCTTTCTCAGCATTGTCATGCTTCAATTTGACTGGCTGTGAGCTGCACTGAAGGAGCATCTTGCCAACCTAAGCGCCTTGGCTTCAAAAGACAATTTGTTTTCTCATTTGTAAAGGGTTTTTTCCCTCGAAACAATCTTTCCCAATCTCTGCAGTCTCCCCAGTCCACCTCACTGTCAGGCTCCGATGTTTACGGCGCGGCGGTAGTGAGCTGTGCAATGACCACTGCGACACAGGCTAGCCGCTTGTCGCTGGCAAAAGCCATCATGCAGGCCAGCCGAAGGTCTTGCTGGGCGGGAGACGAAAGGAACATCAATTTTCAATGATTCAATGATACTCATGTTCGACCAAGCCACCTCTCTGCAAAGAAGCAGCTCTTAGAAGATGAAGGTGCTCCTTTTCAGAATTCCTGAATTAGTGGTAGAATCTATCCGAATCTTGAATCATTCAAGACAAAAGGTGCTCTTCACGGGTAGGCAAGCTCAGAAGATTGCACATAGCACGCCAAGTCATCTTTCTCGTCACATGTTTCAAGGAGCCATCTGTTCTGATTCGCTTGGCTTGCAGCCGGCATGGGCATGCCGCAGCACGCGAAGTTTTGCAGGTCGTGGAAGGTCCTGACAGGACCTTTATGTGCGAAGGGGGGGTTCTTTGAAAATGCGGGATACCCGGGATACCCGGGATAGCCTCCAATACCCATGTTTGTGGATTATGATCAGCCATGATGAGCCATCAAATTTTGGGGTACTCGATTTTCAATGATTTTCAGACAAACCCAAGTGGTGCAACACTTTCTGTTTTGTGCTGCGATGCTACCCATTCCCTGTGTGGAGATCAGTAGAGATCCCCATTTTGATTTTCATGGCGGAGAGTCGTGAGGACACTAGCTCTCCGAATCCTCCAGCATAATCAAAATCGACTACAGCGATCCAGCTGCCTGGCTTTACAATGGCAAAGTTTCTTGGAACTTGAAATATGGCTGCCTGGATTCACTGATCATTCCTTTTTTATCCTTTTTTATCCTTTTTCCATCTTTTTCCCATTTTTCCTCATTTCAGTCGAGCAAAAGCACCCCAACACCCCCCCCTGCCTCCTTCGATTCATTGTAAACACTGATTGCAGCTCTGCAGGATACGGACGTATCGTGGCGGGAATTCACTAGCCGATTTGGCTGCAGTGAGGACCTGTCAGTGACAGCGTTAGTTCCTTGTGAATTTTATCATGTAGTATGACGTGGTAAAAAGTTGCTGAGTTTACTGATCGTAGGCTGGTTGCTTTACTCACAAAGAGGGTGCAGCCGATCGAATCTCGATCCATCTGGACAGCGGATGCAGAAAAGACTACATTCGTTGAGCCAGAAAAGGACATTGAACTTGCGATGTAGGACTGTTGGACCCTCTTTCCGAGGATGTGCTGTGGTTCCAAGAATACTTGTCTCATGAATTCATTTTGAAACGCTCTTGTGGTGTTGCAAGGTCAAAGTTATGACTCAAGACTGTTCAGCTAGACTATTTGTTTCTTCCAAGAATTCGATTCTATGCAAAACCACATGGAGTGCCGGGTGTTCTCCGCCTGAGCAAGGGCTTCCAGAAAAGAACGGCGACCACTGCTGTGTAAAGGCAGGCCATGAGCGACCATCATCTGAGATTTTGGTACTCTCTGATGCCTTCAGAAGCGCCTGTGCAGGATGCTGGGCTCTTGGAGTCGTGTTGGTTCTGAATCTATCCATAAGTTTCAGGTCAGAAGAGCAACGCATAGCCAAGAAACCCACATCCAGAATTCGCATTGCGGGCTAGCTTGCGAGCTCTCGGCTCTGCGGCAGTGGCTCTAGCTGTCCAAATTTTGGAACATCCATGCGGAGTTGGGCCTTTCCAGTCCGAGCTCATCTGGACCCAGATGATTTGGGTTGGAGGAGCTTTACTGGAAAGGGAAAATTCTGGTGTGGCACCACTTTTCTGATACCCTTGCCAATTCCAAACACGAAGTGTTTTAGTATTTTTGGTCGTTTCCTCATGGGGTGTCTTTCAAACGTCACAAAGACGTTTGAAGGAGGCTTCGCTTTAAAATCACCGAGTCACTTTTTCCAAGGTCTGCCTTCAACTGGTGCATGGTTTGCATACCGTTTTTGTGTTGAAATGTGTCAAAAGCTTCAAAGAACCAGGCACTGGGCAGAGCTCAAACTCCTCGGAGCCTTGATCTTTTCCCCACTTTCGGCAAATGCGTCTTGCAATGAGGCAGATGTTTGAGATTGGCTGCTGAAGTGTCGTGTGACCACCCACCTCAAACTGGCAGAAAATGCCCCCCAAGCAGAACATTTTCAGGCCACTTGCAAATCGCGCCAGTGCATGAGATTTATCTCAGGGCTAGGTTTTGGTGTTCAGCCAAAGCCATCCAGGGTTCTTCTGTACACCAGGTGTGCGATTGAAAGTGGAAGTTGAACATTTTGAACACATTGGTCTGGAAGAACCCCCGGACTTTGGCTTCATTCTCAATTAGGGCAGTTCACCCGAGTGTGTGGCGCATTTTGTACTGCAGCATTTGCATGAAACTCTGCAGGCATAAACAGAGCACTCGCAGTTCTGCGCTGTCTGCTTCATGCATTCATTGGTGTTTCCCTAAAAGTTACAAGTTACAACTGGTTGGCATTTGAGCGTTGAAGCAACGCAAGGGCCCCTGCAAATCATGCAACACGACAAGTTCGGCGGAGTTCCGTGGATCGAATGGTATGTCCGATCCTTCGTAGCGTGTAGGACATTTGGCTATATTTCCTTGTTGTGGCTCAAGCGGTAGAGTTAGGGGTAGTAGTCTTCAAACAACAAAAGGCAGCCCTATATCTGCTTCCTAGAACCTCCTCCGATAAACTTTGAGTATTTGAGACCATCCAAATTCAAAACGGGTTCAACTAAGGACACCGATCCTCAAAGCCAAATGCATTTCTTGAAATTTGTTGCGACTTTCCTTAAGCTTCCTTAAGCTGGCACGTCTGGCTGAATTGGACCTTCCAGATGGCTCCTAGCCCTTACGTCCCTCCTTTGATCGCTGGAAATGGTGCGCCCGGGCTCTGTCATAGAGATTTTTGTGTCTTGGATGGTAGCCATCCATTGCTTCAATCACAAGACCCAGAATGTTTGCTTTAGCTCTCACTGCTTCAACTAGTTTGATGGTTTGATGATTTGATGATTCTATTTTTTCGACAAAGATTTGAACTATGCCTATGCTGAAATCCAGCTATACTACCGGAGGTCTAAGGGGCTCTCAAAAGCCTTGCAGGCAGCGCTTGCGGGACTTTGCTTTGCCAAAAAGAGCAAGGCACTCGACAGATTGTGAGACTGTGTCATTTGTCGTTAGAGGTTGATCTTTTCCCACTGGGAGTCATCCAATTTGGTGCTTGTGTGAGTCAATTGGATTTGGATAAGCATGGATGGCGAGTCATGAGTCATTGTCACTTGTCACTTGTTGTCTCTCTTTTTCCTACCGTCATTTCCATTTGGAAACTGTGCGTCTCAAGAGTTTGAGCAGTTTGAGCAGTTTGAGCAGTTTGAGCATGCACTTGTCTCTTTGAGTTCCTGCCACAAGGAGCCTTTTCAATCTATCAATGGACGGCTACTGGATGCAGTGCAGGCTTGACATTTGAGGGTGGTTTTTATCATTTACATAGCCAGAAGACTAGCTGAACGGTTGCAGAAATGAGACAGCGGACACACCCCCAATGATTGCGCGAATATAGCTCCCTGATTCCATATGTTCTTTCTGCATCTATCTGCTTTCTGTGTTTTCAGTGCTACAAAACAGACATGTCGTTTCGATCTGCGATGAAACTTCGGCACTGCTGTGGCCCCGCTGTGACAAAGCGGACAAAGTTCCAAAGGCCGGCATCTTGGACCTGTCCGCTGTGGAGCTCTTTGGGGCTGAAGACACGAACTTAGAAGGCCTCTAGAGCGCCTCGAGGGGCCTCTATGCAGAGGACATAGGCGAAGCATGTGTCGCGTATGGCAAATGCAAAGGTGAGACACTAGGTGGCGAAGCGGCGAAGCATAGGCATTCTGCGGCATTCTTCTTATTTTAAGATTTTTCATGGATTGGTAAAACCCCCGCTGTGCACATCTGAAACATGAACTCTCTACTCTTCTCGAACCCCTCTGAGGCACAGCAAGATCCCCAAGGTGCTGCGACAGCTTTGCAAAGCTTTTGGCAGGCGAGCACTGCATCGACCGTAGCATGTAGCACCACCGGAGCGCCACTGGAGCGCCACTGGAGCGCCTTGATGCCGATGCCAGGAGGTCGTGAAGTCTAAGAAGACAGGGCTCAATGCTCAGCAAAAACGACAGCATACGACCGGTAGACTGAGTACTGACAGTACTGACACACTGCGGTCCAACATGTCACTGCATGTCACTGCATGTCCTTCATTTGGCCCACCAGAATCTGTGCAGTAGCTCAGTAGCTCATAACACATGTTTACATTTTTTACATTTGACTCAGCTGTGACGTAATATCAGGCTCATAGACGCCTTTTCAGGAAGAGATGCATCTATCATCTAAGATGTAAAAAATTCAAGACTGCACCACTTATTCCAAGGTAGGTTGATAGGTCTTTGATAGGTCTTTGTGGGTCTTGGTTTCCAGGCCGGGCCCCCGAGTTCTCGTTGCCAGGCTAAGCTTGGTTGGTTTGGAGACCTTCGACCTGTGCAGTGCTGCTCTGTTGGAGCCGGAAGCCTCTGTCCACTGAGGTCGCAATAAAAACACGAGCATTTTTTGGGTCGTTCAAGCAGGAACCTGAAATGAAACTTCCATAGATTCTTTCTTTTTCTCTATAAATCTATATATACATATAATATATATATATTAATTAATATATATATATAGACATACAGTATAATACATACTTTACACGTACAAACAAATAGAAAGATCTGCAAGTCTTGCACCTTTACAAAGGACATTAGTTTGTGCTGACCCAACTGCCGCTCTTGACACAGCCAGACACAAAAAGCCTAGCTGTTAAATGCGAAATCGTTCATACACCATCACTGCGAACACTTTCATTAAGCATCAATGCAGTACCTCTATCTGAAACAGAACTCAGACTGGAAATTGAAGGTGACCTTGCAATCTCAGATAGATGTCCGTAATATACATGATATCTATTGATATCTCAAGCACCAAGCTCTCAACTTCAGACTTTGAGATCTTGTGAGGCGACATGACACATATTGAAATGTCACGAAACCACAAGTTGTTGACCCAACTGCCTGCTCTGAGCCATTGGGCCATGGGTGGTACCTTGAGTTGTTCATTGGAGGTGGCTCTATTGATCAGCAATCACTGGGCAGGGGCACAAGCAGTGTCAGTGCCTTCCCACCAACCTGGTGAGCTGGCAACTTGGTCTAAAAAGAACGACTTTCGGCCAGAGGTTCATTGGACTTCAATTCTAGTCACTAGTCTAGTACATTATTCTCCATTTATTCTCTATTTCCTTTCCATTCGAAAAGGTTCTTTAGCCTTTTCTCTATCATTTAGCATGGAACTACGCATAGTTCACCCCGGCAAAATATACTGGCACATTGCAAAATGTGGCTTGCACTAAGTTGTGACAGCCTTGTTTAAGGTATTGAAGCTGCGACACCGCATTGCCTGAGACTCAGTCTGGGTCAGTGTTTAAAGCGATGCAGTCGGTTCTGTTTCAGAAGCGTCTTGTGCGAGGTTGTGGATGAGCGAGAGCTGCAACGCAGAACCCAGCGTTGCTCCTCCCTGGAACAGGGACCTTTTTGCATGAAACTGGGCCATCCAGGTGCTGCGGTATTCGCAGGGGGATCATGTCAGATAGCCATGGAACAAGATTAAGTCATATCATCGTTCGATAGGAGTGAACCTCAGCAAGCAACAACCCAAAGTAGCGGAGTCAGAACATGTGACCTGGGTCACCTGGGTCACCTGGGTCACGTGAGTCCCAGGTCTAGGTGTGTCTGGGCTGGTTGATGGCATGCTTTCTCAACAACTGCGGGAGAATCATCCGGAAGCCTTTCACTGGGATCAGCGTGCGGATCCCAACCATGCTGAATGACGCAGCGCGGCAAAACGCTGAATGGATCCATGATTTTCAAACTGAGGTGATCGTTCAACGACTTTGACAATAAACCACCTCCTTGACAGATTGGGAGGCACGGGGATGGAATGCGCTGCAATCAGCCTGCTGGAAACCACTCTTGACATGATTTCTTTTGACTGCTCAGATTGTTTTGGGTGCCAACTGAACCCTTGCCAAAAGCGCATTGACCGCTTTCTGAAAGGTCTAGGTTTGGCTTTCCTTTAGGTTTAACAATTGATTCTTCTGATGTATGCAGGTGAAGAGGATGAAATCCAGTCCCTGAGCTGAGTCTGTCCAAAATGGCTAGCACTGCAAGTAGAGTCCGCTGTCCGATTCTAGGATATTTGGGAGGATTCACATCTTGATTTCCTATGAGTATGCAAAACAATGCAAAACTTCCATCTTCCAAAATCTCCCGAAGGACTCTGATCTGCTTGTTTTCTTTTGGACGCCTCAAGGAAGAGACCTCAGAGACCTCAACGACCTCGTTGCTTTGAGCTCCAGCTTTGGCGGCTGCCGCCCAGCTTCAGCTTTTTGCCCGAATCTTTTGGAGAAGGTTTTCCGCTGCTTGGCGCGCCGCAGGTGCGATTCGTGAAAACTGAGAGGCATAACTATGGTATAAGAAATGTATAAGATGTGTAAGAGATGCTCCCGCAATTTCTTGTTTCAGAAGCCAAAGAAAGCTTACAGTTGAGCAAAGGAGTTTTTTTTCGACATTCTTAGTGTATTGGCAACAAACGTCGTCCTCTAGCAAAGCGCATGAGCTGAGGAAGAGTCAGGCAATGACAATAAGTAGGCTGACAAGTAAAGTGGCAAGGGACCAGTGTGGCAGCTAAGGGTGGATGCAGCTCCAAGGTGGCAGGGCGTTTGGCAACTTGGACTTAGATAGTCCATCTGCCAAGATGGATGTTTCCTTGCCAGCAGTTCAGATGCACCCAGGACCTTCCCTAGGTCGTCAATCGCGGAATTTAGCTGGCTTGGCGGAGAGTCAGGTTTGTGAAATATGTCCAATCCGACCTTTTCAAATGGAAGAGATATGCCAGTGCAATGCGGAAGCTCCTGGCTCCTGGCTCGTGCTTTTTTTTTCTGAGGCAAGTAGCACAGTGTCCCCTGCCATCCTCTCCGGCAACAATGCTTTTCTTCGGAGTAGCTTGGCAACTCGACAGTTTTGCAGCATATATTTCGGAATTCGGTACAAGGGAGATTGCAATAATTTCGTCGAGTTTGATGGTCCGCTGCTTGATCTGGTTGGGGCTGACAATGTTGTGGACAGGTGCAACAGGGAATTCACATATATAATGTAATATATATATATATATTATAAATTAATATAATATATGTGGCTGAATGTTGCTTTACCCAGCCTTTGAGTCCCCTAGGAGGCTCACCCTGGGCGTGGGCCTTGTCTACGTGTTCATGGCCTTGGACCAAAGCGTAGGGCCTCCGTGAAATTTGGGAGGCCGTTGGTGCTGCATCGTGTGGTGGTTGGTATTCCAGCGCCTTGGTCAAAGAAGATGGCCATATTGGGCCATATCTTCCACAACGCTCTGACCCTTTTGAAAACCTTTGAAGTACATATCAATTCCAATCAATTCCAATTGCTGAGGATTCAGTTGCTCGCCTGGAGAGCTGGGACCGGGGCTCATTTGTGTGTGGCATGAACAAGGCACCATTGCTACCGTTCATGCTCGATGTGCCGTTTTGAGTATAAGCCACACTGAGCTGTGTTGAGCCGTGCTGCATCGTGCAGGGTTTCGAGAGATGGTGCAGAGACATTGCACACATTGCTGAAGACGCCAAAGCGTCCAAGACGCATGGCGCAGGCATTCCACGATCGTCTTCGCTTCCAAGAAAACATCTTGAACAAGAATTAAATAATTGCAGCTTGCTTAGCAATGCTTAGTATATGTATACAAATATATATAATTTATATAGAATATAATATATATATAATGATATAATATGATATATAATATATATATAATATATAATATATGTATAATGTAACATAATACAATATAATATAATATATTATAATTTATCGTATAAATTATATGTAATCTTGTGTATATAAATAATATAATATATAATATATAATATAATATATATAATATATAATATATAACATATATTTTATGTAATATAATATATAATATATAATATATGTAATATAATATATAATATAATATATATATAATATACATAATATATATAATATATATAATATATATATAAATAATATAATATATAATATATATAATATATATAATATATATAATATATAATATATATAATATATATAATATATATAATATATATAATATATAATATATATAATATATAAAATATATATAATATATAATATATATAATATATATAATATATATAATATATAATATATAATATATATATATAATATATATATAATATATATAATATATATAACATATATAATATATATAATATATATAATATATATAATATATATAATATATATAATATATAATATATATAATATATATAATATATATAATATATATAATATATAATATATATAATATATATAATATATATAATATATAATATATATAATATATATAATATATATAATATATAATATATATAATATATATAATATATATAATATTTAATATATAATATATATATAATATATATATAATATATATAATATATATAATATAATATATATATATATAATATAATATATATAATATATATAACATATATAATATATAATATATATAATGTGTATAATATATATATATATAATATAATATATATAATATATATAATATATAATATATAATATATAATATATAATATATATAATATATAATATATAATATATATAATATATATAATATATATAATATATATAATATATAATATATATATATATAATATATATAATATATGATATATATATAATATATATGGTATATATTATATAATATATATCTAATATAATATATAATACATATATATATATATAAAATAATACATAGTATAATATATATATATATAATATAATATATAATACATATATATAAAATAATACATAATATATAATATATATATAATATATAATATATATAATATATAATATATATAATATATAATATATATAATTTATATAATATATAATATATATAATATATATAATATATAAAATATTTTATTATGTATATATATATATATATTATAATATATATATATCTACATAATATAATATAATATAATATAATGTATATATATAATGGATTATATACATATACATATATATATATATAATATATATATATTATAATATATTATATCAGTACGCTGTCTAATGACGAAACATGGTTGTTAATTACGAAGCTGGAATCTTAATTGCGAAGAAAGGGTGTTGGCAAAATGCGAAAGGAGGATTATATAATATATTATGTAATTATATACTATATTTTGTACTATGTATTTTTGGTGATCATTAGATGATTATACTCTATCTTGCTCTTTTGCTTTGGAGCAGCCATTTCTGCGTGTGCATCTGGGTATCGAGATCTTGCCAGAATCTCAGATCGATTCCGCGTCGTTTTCACTACCTGCAGAAGCAACATGTCAGGGCAACATCACATCCCAAGGTGGTGCCCAGTGTCTGCTTGAGGTTTGGAACACCTCACAATGCCAGAGCGGGAGGAATATAGCCAGAAGAGGTGCGGAATGGAATGTAAGGGTGCAAGTTTGGTCAACTTTGAGCTCTATGAGACAATTTACAGTACAGGAAGACATTTCTTTGGGGCAATAGAACTGCTTCTCGTCAGCCAGAAACCTTCTCTTCATGATGAACAGGTTCATTGGTCATGTGTAGTCCGGACAGGGGACCCATTGTGCGCGAAAACTTTGTCGGCAAGAAGGCCCGCACGGATAATCGGCCTTTCGCAACTGTCGTTACATACAGTGATTACAGGCTGCGTTGCTATTTCACACCTCTGTGAGTGTATTGATCTTTGTTGACTTGGCAGCCACGACTTGCAAGAGACACGTTGGTGCAAGAGACACGTGGCGCCCGTAGAGTCTCCGTACAGTCTCCGTAGCGCGCGTACACTCTCCGCAGCGCCCGTACAGTTTCCGTAGCGTTCGTATAATATTCGCTGCGCCTGTAGTCTGCGTACCAGTCGTACAGTCTTCTGCGCAGTCTCCGTAGCGCACGTACAGTCCCCACAGCGCCTGTGCACTCTCCACAGCACCCGTACAGTTTCCGTAGCGCTCGTACAATTTTAGCTGCGGACTCAGCCGTACAGTCTTTGTAGCGCCTGTGCAGTCTCCGTAGCGCACGAACAGCCTCCACAGCGCCTGTACACTCTCCGCAGCGCGCAAACACTCTCCACAGCGCCCGTACAGTTTCCGTAGCGCTCGTACAATTTTAGCTGCGCCTGTACAGTCTGCGGAGCAGCCGTACAGTCTTTGTAGCGCCTGTGCAGTCTCCGTAGCGCACGAACAGCCTCCACAGCGCCTGTACACTCTCCGTAGCGCGCAAGCACTCTCCACAGCGCCTTTACAGTTTCCGCAGCGCTCGTACAATATTCGCGGCGCCTGCATAGTCTGCGTAGCAGCCGTACGGTCTTCGTAGCGCCTGTGCACTCCCCGTAGCGCGCAAGCACTCTCCACAGCGCCCGTACAGTTTCCGTAGCGCTCTTACAATATTAGCTACGCCTGTACAGTCTGCGTAGCAGCCGTACAGTCTTCGTAGCGCCTGTGCAGTCTCCCTATCGCACGTACAGTCTCCACAGCACCTGTGCGGTCTTTGTACCACGCGTTCACTCTCTACAGCCCCCTTACAGTTTCCGCAGCGCTCGTACAATATTCGCTGCCTTGTTTGGATCCATGCGAAAATGTATATGCAGTCATTTGAGATTTTTATGTCCAATACAGTTGGGCGGATAGACTTGACATTGCAGATCCTAAATACAGTTGGGCAGAGAGACTTGACATTGCATGGGCTGCGTTCGGAGTTCTAGGTCATTCAGCAGCATGATCGCGTGAGATTTCATTTACGACTTTTTTCAAGTTCGATCCAGTATTTTCTCATCATGATCACTTCAACTGATCACAGCGTCAACTTGCGGATGGAATCTGGCTCCAAAAATCCAGAAGGGATCAGGCCGACATGCCGAATGCTCAGGATCGATGGATCATAGATCCACAACAATGAATCTGGATTGAACACCCAATTCGCCCTCAGACATCTAGTTTGAGGCCAGCCATTGAGATACATGATGATCATCTCGGGCTAGACCTGACAATGGCCTCGCCAAATGACGTGACTGAAGAGGAGTTAGTTTTTTGGTTGGAACTCACCATTTGTTTTTGCATGCATACATGAAGAGGTTAATTTCTTTTAAGTCATAGACCTTCACAGACGTGTGAGGAAAAGAAAGCTTTTGACAAGGGCGGTTCGACTGCAGCTCTGCCGGAAAGCTACTTCCCGGTCTCAATTCCACCAGATGGGAGGCTGCTGCCATGCCACTGGATTCATTGATGGAAATCATTCGTAGTCATTATATAAGTACAGGTGCCGACAAGGATCGCAAGATTTCTACAAATATGGATGGGGTTGTTGGTGGCTTCTGTTGCGAAAGTGTTTCGCCTCTGCAGGTGTCTCTACTCATCGTTATTTCTTGCATGTGCCCAAGATCCATCAGAGAGGAGAGCATGGAAAGGTGAGAAGCAGGAGTTTAAACCTGGGGAATTGACAGCTTGAAACATTTGCATGTGTTTCTCCAACCTACATGCACAGGCCTCATTCTATCCTTCGCAGGACACCCGTGAGGTAGTCACTTGGGCAGAAGGCTTGAAGCTTGGGGCCGCTACCAAGGAGAGGTTGGTGACTGGCAAGGTTAGCGAGCCGGAAGATCTGGTGGCTTTGCTGCAGTTAGAAATGGAGCTTGGAATCTTACTCCACCTTTTTGCAAGGCAAGCTCTCCTGCTGTTTGGACACATGAGAAAGGTTCTTCCAGCCAGTCAGTTTGGAGCTGTTTCTCCGCTTAGGAGGAAGTGGCAAAAGCCCTGGAAGTCAACCTTCTCATCTTCAGCACTGCAACGGTGCCACAAGCTCAATCAGTGCCTACTTACAGGGCCCCACCTCTTGAGAATGCTGGACCTGAAATCTTTCTCTGGGCGCACAAAGTGAAAGACGGGGAAGGGCATGAGAGTCCGCACTACGTCCCTCTCTTGCCACAGAGTGCCATGCCCGCGCAAGGAGGTGGGGGACAGACCAGCTCGCGGCTTGTCATCTTGCCAGATCGTTTGGCCAGGACTTACACAAGACGGGTACGAACTTGGAGCTCAAATTTCCCGTGAGATCAAGGTGTGCAAGCGAGAAGACCCAATGAATTTGCAAGTGTAGAGTCTTTGTTGCTTTCGGCATCCATGAGTCTTGTTTTCGTCCTAAAGTTGAAGGGCCAGGCAGCTGATGCTTCGAGCGAATTGGTTCAGTCCTGCACAGTCTCACAGTGGATAAGATTGATTTTTTTCATGAATATGGACGTGGCATCAAGTGATTCTTCTCTCGGAGGAAGGCCCTGCCGGCCAGCCAAATGCTCAGGCCTCACTTTCCTCAATCCAATCGAGTCCAATGAGAGTGTAGTGGAGTGTAGTTGTGTAGTTGTAATTGTAGTGTTGTGGTGTGTAGTGTAGTGTAATGTAACAGTAGTGTAGTGGAGTGTAGTGTAGTGAAGCGAAGCGAAACGACGTCTGAGCCTCCAAAAGTGGTCCGAACCCCTAGTGTTTTTAACATTTTGACTTCAAAATGTGCTTCGCGCCACAACGGCGTGCACTTTTTCGAGATCTGAACTTCCAAAAGTGGTCCGAACCCCTAGTGTTTTTCAACTTCCAAAAGTCGTCCGACACTGAGGTGTTTTGTACATTTTGACTTCGAAATGTGCTTCGCGCCACAACGGCGTGCACTTTTTCGACATCTCAACTGCCAAAAGTGGTCCGGAGCTGGTGTGTTTTGTACATTTTGACTTGAAAATGTGCTTCGCGCCACAACGGCGTGCACTTTTTCGACATCTCAAGTGCCAAAAGTGGTCCGCACCCCTAGTGCTTTGTACATTTTGACTTCGAAATGTGCTTCGCGCCACAACGGCGCGCACTTTTTCGCCATCTCAAATTCCAAAAGTGCTCCGAGCACCAGGTGTTTTGTACATTTTGACTTGGAAACGTGCTTCGTGCCACAACGGCGTGCAATTGTTCATCTCTCATCTGGCCAGCTGGCTCCGCACCCCGCCGCTTTAGCGAGCCTACTTTTCGACCCTCCAGAGCCACAAATCATTGGAAAAACACAGTTTTTCGCGACTTTCCTAGCTTTTCACGCATCTGCGTCTTCTTTCTTCTTACTCTTTCTCTTCTACTCTTCTTTCTTCTAATCTTTCCCTTCTCTCTGCCTCTTCCCTGCTCTGCTTTTCATCTGTCCATATTGTCGGAAGTTTGACTTCTAAACTTCCTTCGATTATATATTTTACATTATATATTATATATTATTTATTATATATTATTTATTATATTTTTTTATATATTATTTTATATATTATATTATATATATATTATATTATATATTATATATTATATATTATATATTATATATTATATATTATATTATATATATACATGCACATTTCACAAGTTTCTGTTGAGTGGCAATGGCAGAATCCGTTTTGTGCATCGGAGGTGATGGTACCTTTTATAGAGATGTTGGAGACAGCTTCCAGATGATCGATGAGGCAGAGCTGTCAAGATTCGTCTTGCGAATGTCGTTGCTCTCCACTGAAATCGCAAGATTGTCATATATTTGTCCCCATTTTGTCCCTTAATATCTAGTTGTCTTAAAGTGATCTTGTTTCCTTCTACGTTTCCTATAAGGCCTTTAATGCGTTTAATGGGACTACTTCCATCTATTTCCATCGTGTTTCCCCGCCATGGCCACGACGCGTCGCCCGCCATGGCAGGTCATTTTCCACCAGGTCTCCCCAGAGGGGCTCCTGATCGGCGGATTGGCCGCATCCATGGCGCCGGAAAAAAACAACACAACTCAGGCGGGGCTCCAAGGGGTCCAAGCTTGGGCAGATTGGGCGAAAAGATCACTTAGAAATGCTTAAGTGATATTTCAATTTAAATGAACATAAATGAACAAGTAGATATTGTATATAAATGGATCTAACAATTCTGAGATTGATGTAAATCGCGGCAGTTCAGAGAGTTTATGATGCTTTTGATGGAGCTGCCAGCTGCCAGCTGGAAGGTGGTCATGCTGCTACATCGAAAATTCGAGCAAGGTGACAAGTTGCCTGTGGCACCTCCAGAACCTTTTCTCACAAACGTGGTGTCCATATCTACCAACGCTGCAGCTGGGCCGAGTTTCGGACCGGCGACGACGCTGCGGCAGCGTCCCCGAAGCACCCAAGTTTCATCCTTGCTGTATTTGGTCTTCCGAGGTAGTTTGGACAGCAGATGAGATTCTGGCGCGACTTGTCGTTTTTCGATTGGTGAATCACTGAATCACTGGTGAATAGTTGGTGAATTGTTGGTGAATCGTGGAGCCGTTTCTCCCAGGAATGGCCTTGGTTTGAGCGGCTACACAAGTGGTGTGGAGCATTTGCGCAGTCGAGCCAAGTTCTTGGCAGAGGCCGGGATTTGCACTGCAAAATGTTTCAATATACTTTGCGCTGTGACAAATACATTGACCTAAAGAGTTGCTTTAAAGGTTGTTTCCAAATCGACCTCTTGTCCCCCAAGGTAGCATCAGCTACCTGAGCCACTGTGCGTCGCTAGTGCGGTACATTGTGACTCGTAGTCATGTCTTGGGACTAGGATGGAAATCTTCACAAATCTTCACAAATCTTCACAAATCTTCACAAATCTTCACAAATCTTCACACATCTTCACAAATCATCACAAATCTTCACAAATCTTCACAAATAATCATCATCACCATTATCATCATCATCATCATCATCATCATCAACATACTCCCCAGTACACTACAGTTGATTTGAATCATAGCCATTTTATTTTAGATACTAAAAACTATCCTCATCATGTTGCTGGTGGCGGTCACCCTGACAATCATATAGTAACACTGTCGTGCGTGCAACCAAACCTCAGCGACCCTAGCTATTTTACGTACGACTCGTGCCCCAATATTCTACATATTATCCTCCATTTCACAAAAACAACAATCACACATGAACTGTGTCATTTTGGTATTCTTCATGCCGCAGAGCCACGTGGCATTGAATTCCCTCCTTCCACTCCTTTTGTTACCCCCTTCTACCTTTCGTCCGCCCCTTCTCAAGTAGCTTCTCTACATTGTTTCCATTGCCTGGACTTTGTGTGAAGAAGAAAAAACAAAAGGAAAGAGGAAGAAGAAGAAGAAGTTTGCGCTTGCAGAACCATAGTGCACCCATGGTTGTACATGTTGGACATGGGCGTCTGCCATGCACAGGAGGCCTCAAAATGGCGGGAGGACACGAATCGAAAACGAGATTTCTTCGAGTTGGACTGGAAGAGAAAACACGGCATTGTGCGCGATGAGAAGGAGACAGAAACGATTGAGGAGAAGCCAGCGGAGCTCACTGAAGAGGAAGAGATCCTGAGTTCCGAGACCGATGAGCAGGCTGGTGAAAAGCTTTGAGTTTTCAAGAGTCAGTCATCCGAACTCATGACAAAATATGTTTTTTCACAGAGTCTGCTATTGAACTTTGTGTGTATATATATATATTATGTGACATGTTTAGATTGCTGTGTATTTGATAGTCAAGTCGAGTAATGAACAATCCAAGTTGCAGCGATTTTCTCATAACAATGTCCAGCATTACGCTGAAGTACGCTTCAGTTTTGGCTCTGTCAATCCAGAGTTCTAGTGTCCCACCTCTAGACTTCAAGAACCACCTTTGAAGTTTCTGTAACAATCATAGCAAGCGCATAATTCTTCGAGATCCCTTGTGGTATTGCGCAGTTCTGACGGGCTAAATGTCAGAGGTTGGGATATCACCAAGATCATCAGAAAATCCCTCCCATGTTTGCGTGTTAGCTAGTGCAGCTTGTTCCTTGGTGAGAGTTGACCCAACCCTGCCCTTGCGGCCTGGAGTGGCACGGAACGGCACCGAACGCGCTTGCTTCCTTTACCAAGTCTGTCAGGAGCTGCTTGAGCCACTTGAGCCACTTGAGCCACTTGAGTCGCTGGAGCCGCCTGAGCCGCTTGCAGTTCGGACTGGGCTGCCAACTGTATGTGTGTTTAGTGATGCCTAGTGATGCCTAGTGATGCCTAGTGATGCCTAGTGATGCCTAGTGATGCCTAGTGATGCCTAGTGTCTTTAGTGTGTGTTATGAATTTGCCGCAGAGAAGGTCAGAGTTGGGGAATGCTGAGGCCAGAAACGTCCGAATTTGATGCCTCATTGCAGGAACAGTTGGCCAGTGGCTTAATGAGCTATGGGGTTTAGTTTGGGCCAACTAATCATCTGTTTCTGATGGTTGGAAGCCCACGTGAAGCTGCAGTGAGGTGGATGCACTATCTGAGCTGTTGCAAACGTTTGGCGTGGAAGGAGCCGAAGAGTCACAGAGGCCAGTGAAGATCTGTTGAACCGGCATCCAACTGAAAAACATAGCGGAAACACAATCAGCACCTCTCATTATTCCTGACTGGCTGCTACCCGGTGACGACATGTGAAAACGTCGTCATCCATGATATCTAATGTCAACCCTGGATTCATAAAGCCTGACTGTGAATTGGTGGGCTTTACCCCTAAAGTAGTGATTGCAGACGATTGACATATGTGCCCCTGTTTGAAAAACTCGGGTCTATAGATCCTTGACTCTTGCGACACAGGTCATCGCCTGTGAAGTTTGAGACCGTGCAGGTCGGAAATGCGCAGGTGGTCATGGCTAAAGTCATGGCCGATGTGCAAGTTGAGACCAAGGCTGGTTTCTTCAAGGATTTCCATGGACAAATCAATTAAGAGCAGGAGATTGAAGGAGATTGGCGCTTTCAGACAAATGTAGCAGTTGATCCCAATGTCCACTCCTGTGTCTCGTGCTAGCACAAGAGTTTCAGAGGTTCAAGAGCTGCTGGAAGAGATGACATCAAGTCTCTTAGATCAATTGAAGCAGGCGCTGATGCAACTTGATGCGAGCCAAGTGATAATATGGTCTTTTTTTTGACCCTTTGGATGCTGGTTGCTTCAACAGAAGGTGTGAAAATGGGTTGGAAACCATATGCTTTCGTGGTGTGACAGGCTGATGGGGCTGAGTTCGGGGCTCAGGATTCTGAAACGTCCAGACTTCTTGTTGGGTAGACGGGGGGGGGGGTTGCCCAAACTTCATCGTTTTTTGCACGCACTCATGTCGACCTCTCTTTTGTCTTGCCTCTTGTTTGGTTGGGGGGGCAATAACGTCTTTACGCTCACGTTGCTTTAGGCTGTCATGTCTTACATACACTACGTCACAACGTCTTGCATGTACTATATGTACTGTCACATCACGTTGCTCTACGCTCATGTATACTACATCATCATGTATACTACGTCGTCACGTCTCACATGTAACTTAACTTATAATACATGTCTTACAACATACATGCGCCTCTTTCCATTTTTCTTGTGATGTCGAGCAATCTTAAACTTATCATCTCTGGTCCACACATCGATGGCTTATCCGCTTTGTACACTCATGAAAAGCTTGGGCTTGAAATGGTCATGGATGCCTTTGTGCGCTATATGGCTTTTGTCAAAGACAAAATTCATCCCAACAAGGCCTATGTAGATACCTCCTGGTTCACTGAAAAGTGAAGAAATTCAGGACGAAAAACTTGCGCGATCCCTTGTAAGGATTGTTTTCAACATTGATTTTTGAAAAAAATACGGAAGCTGACTTGATGCACAACTTCATGAACATGTTGAACCAATCCATAATATGAAGGTCAAAGGAGAACGATGCACAACGATAATAAATAGGCTTGCTACCACAGAGAACGCACATTTTTGAATACACCAATTTCCTACATCTGAACGAACTCAATGATGAACATCTTGGAGTTAATCAAGACGGCCCTGAGATTCGGGCAAACCCCACCCGTCTACCCTTCTCGTTGTTTGTTGCAACTTGGCGTGTGCTCTCTTCAAAGGTTTCCTCGGACACTTGATTTTTTTTTTACACGTGAGCTGGCACGAATTTCTGCTTTGCTCAGCGACCTCTTCGTATGTCGACTTCCCATCTCCTGACCTGGCTGGAAGCGACATCTGCCACAGACGCGAGGTCAACAGATTTTCCCCTTGCACAAGGCGCACAAGGCCTTGCCACAAGCTGAGAAACATTGAGAAACCAACAGCCCGTAATCCGAGATCCGAGTCTGAGTCTTGAGGCAAAGACGGTTCTGAAGAGCCTAGCTGGATTCGAGACCCATGAAGCAACTGGAAAAAAAGGAGCTGCGGAAGGCATCTCTTGCAGAGCTTTCAGAATATGTGCTTTGATTTGGACGCTGTTTTGCCAAGGCCAAACAGCATCAGCAAGTCGGTGCTGTGGGAACAGGACCCAAGGCATGCTGAGTTCTTCACCAAGGTCAGACCCCCATGCCAAGGCCGTTCTGTTTTCTTTTGGCTACATCAAGCTCCTGGATTGTGTATGATGATTATGATAGTGTAGTGTTGCAGTTCATCATTTTGTTCCTCTTGCGTGGCCCGTGTACATAGCCTGAACCAATGATCGTAGCCGAATATTGTGGCCGAATCCCGAGGCTATCTTTGACAGGGTACAAGCGGTTGGCCTAGAATTCCGAAACAAAAACTGTGACGGTCATAAAACAAAAGACCTCAAGTGGATGTCGAGAAAGTGAGCATACCATGTTGAAGGGCAGGTGATACATCCTCGAAAGATTTCGAAAGCATCAAGATCTCCTGCAAGTGAGGCCCAGGGGACATCTCCAACGAAGAAGGCTCGTCAGCACAGCAACGAGCTCTTTTGCCTTTTCATCAGCAGGTAATTCTTTATGAGTTTGCAACATTTGCATCTCATGCAGGAAACGACCTGAGGAGTTTGTATCAAGCCATGCCCTGTTAGCCTCTCTGAGTAGGTCTTGTACGAATCACTGGCAATGTGGGTAGATATGGCCCGGAGCTCAGTCAAACCCCAGAGCCTGACTCGGGCTTTGTTTTAATTTCACTCATGGTCTATTGAAGGGGTATTTGCAAAGGCACTGGGGAAGACCAAGAAGACGAAGGCCCCTTGCAGCACTAGCGCCTTTCTGAAGAGTTCCATGTCGCCCACTGTTTTTATAGAGGATAATCAATCCTTATATAATCAATCCTTATATATCCTTACTATATCTTGCATTATCATGGTGAGTGCTGTAGCAATGTACTGAGCTGCACAACTGCCGGCAATTCGAGTTGAACACCAGGACCTCAAGCTGAAGGCATCATTGATGATACAGGACATACCTACATGCCTTGTGACAGAACCATCAGTGTCGTTCCTTCAGCTCCTGATCCAGGAGCAAGGTATGGATGTTGGACCACCACAAGAGAATATTCAAGCCAATGAAGGTGGACTGGTGCCACAGTTTCAGAGCCTCAAGTTGTGGCCACACGGACTCCCATTCTGCTAGCTTTTTTTGTACGGCATCGTACAGCTTGGAGATCTGACAGGTGAATATCCACCTGAACCAAAGACAAGTGCTGAGGCGTCACGAATCTTTTGGATTCACTGCTGGTCCAGCTGGTAGCAATTTCGTGTCTGCTATTGGCCAGGATTGGCTCCAGCAGCTGATGTCTTTGAAACCCAAACCTCTGGTGAATCCCTCAGTCAAATCTGGAGACACAATGGCATCGGATGTCAGCACTCCTGAAATATCCTGACATTTCCCGACATATTCGACATATCCTCAATCGACTCAATCCCCATTGTTTTCCTTTGACCTTCACCTGGATCATTCGATCATTCGCCTGGATTCCACTTTCACCAAGGTCTTGCGCGGAGCCCTTGCAGATTGGCAGCTGCTGCCAGTGTTGCTCAAGGCGTCGTCACCAACCTCTGCCAGGCAAGGTACTTCAATGCTTCAAGACTTGTGGGGTCCACGGGGCGACGATTTGCCATGCTGAAACAGCGCTGCTGTGAGGATCGACAATGATTTTAGATGCAATTGGAGTGATTCAGCTGTGATGATCTGTTCAAAGACCTTGATGCGTTGCTGCCCTTGAGAATAAAGATATAGGGTGTTGCACAGAAAGTGAGAGATCATTTTGTACCATTCTTTTGCCTATGCAGAAGGGGTTGATTGAACAAATGCTATTTGCTAGGGCAAGGTCGCAGACATGTTCGTCCTGTTATTTCTTTTGCCCTTCAGAATGACGCCAGAAAAGCATTCATTCGCAACAATCACGTGGTAGTAACATTCACGTGATCATGTTTTGCCCCCTTTGAGGCAAGCACCATCCGACAACTTTTCTTTCAAGGACCGTGTCGTGATGTCCAGCTGAAGTAAGCCAGTGGTGGTGTCACACGGTGTAGGAGCTCCTGGTGACACTCGCAGGGACTTTGGGCCGAAGCTTCTCTCCACTGACTCAGGCAATTGGACTGATCACGGAACAATGACAATATTCGAAGTGCAGTTTGCAAAACGCGCGCTATTTGAATTTCAAACACGCAGCCACTTGCAGCCACTCGCAGCCACTCGAGTGGCCGCAAGTGGCTGCAAGTGGCCGCAGGGGGGCTGTTGGAGCAAGTGCAAGTGGCCGCAAGTGGCTGCAAGTGGCCGCAAGTGGCCGCAAGTGGCCGCAAGTGGCCGCAAGTGGCCGCAAGTGGCCGCTGGCCGCAAGGGGTCTCTTAGAGCAAGTGCATGGCAGCCACTTGCAGCCACTTGCAGCCACTTGCAGCCAATTGCAGCCACTTGCAGCCACTTGCAGGCACTCGAGTGGCCGCAAGTGGTCGCAAGTGGCTGCAAGTGGCCGCAAGTGGCCGCAAGTGGCCGCAAGTGGCCGAATGCAAGCGCTGTGATTTTGGCACTTACCAGAATGAGACCGGCCAAGTAGCGCAAGTGGCCGCAAGTGGCCGCAAGTGGCCGCAAGTGGCCGCAAGTGGCCGCAAGTGGCCGCAAGTGGCCGCTGGCCGCAAGGGGTCTCTTAGAGCAAGTGCATGGCAGCCACTTGCAGCCACTTGCAGCCACTTGCAGGCACTCGAGTGGCCGCAAGTGGTTGCAAGTGGCTGCAAGTGTCCGCAACTGGAGCAAGTGGCTGCAAGTGGCCGGAAGTGGCCACAAGTGGCCGCTGGAGCAAGTGGCCACAAGTGGCCACAAGTGCCCGCAAGTGGCCGGAAGTGGCCGCAAGTGGCGGCCGGAAGTGGTCGCAAGTGGCCGCAAGTAGCTGCTTGGTCTGGGTTGCTCCACCCCACAAAATTTGAAAAAAAATAATGAAAGGAAAGAGTTGAAATGAAAGGAGCGGCCGAACGGAAGGGAAGAGTTTAAACGAAAGGAATGAAGTATAACGACTGAAAGGATAGAGTTGCAACGAAAGAGTTCAAGTAACAAACGGACTGTAAGAGGTGAAATGGTGAAACGATGGGGAAGAAGTAACGAATGGAGTGTATAAACGAGGTGAGACGTAAGGACGGACGTAACGAAATGAACGACTTGAAACGAAGGGAAACAGTAACGAACGGGATGTCAGAGTTGAAATGAATGGAAGGAAGTAACGAATGAAAGGAGAGAGTTGAAACGAAAGGAAGACAGTAACGAATGAAAGGAAAGAGTTGAAACGAAAGGAACGGCCGAACGGAAGGGAAGAGTTTAAATGAAAGGAAGGAAGTACAACGGATGAAAGGAGAGAGATGCAACGAAAGAGTTCAAGTAACAAACGGACTGTAAGAGGTGAGACGAAAGGGAAAAAGTAACGAATGGGGTGTATAAACGAGGTGAAACGTAAGGACGGACGTAAGGAAACGAACGACTTGACCGCAAACGGAAGGAAGGAATTGAAACGAAAGGAAGGAAGTAACAAACGAAATAGACGAGTTGCAATAAAACAAACATGTAAACGAAAGGAGTGTATAGGAATTGACACGAATGAAAGGACGTAACCACATGAATGGCTTAAAACGAAAGGAAGAAGTACAAGAACGGGATGGACGCGTTGAAATCAAAAAAAAGGAAGTATCAAATGGACGGGAAGAGTTGAAATGATAGGAACGATGTAGCCAATAGAAGGGAAGTGTTCAACGAAAGGGAAGAAATAACGAACCGGGGATACGAGTTTCTAACATTATTGATGCTACGCTCTGATATCCTCTGAGACCTTCTACATTTTTTTACATGGAATGCATTGATGCTACTCCCCAACAGTTTCTCCTTAGTCTTCTAATATGGTTTGTTTGCTACTCTCTAAGATCTACCCTACTTTCAAATATCAATATTCTACCATCATTGATGCTACGCTCCAAGATCTGCGCATCATTCTTTCAAGCTTCTACCATCATTGATGCTAGGCCCTAAGAGCTTCTCTTCAATCTCCAAACATCATTGATGCAACTGATCTTCAATTTTCTACTATCACTGATGCTACGCTTTCAGATCTTCTCTTCACTTTTCAGACATCATCGATGTTGCGAAAAAGATCTTCTTTTGATTTTTCTCACATTCTACCGGCATTGATGCTATGCTTTTCGATTTTCTCTTTATTTTTCTCCCATTGCACCATCATTGATGCTACGCTCTAAGATCTTCTCTTAAATTTTCAAACATGTTTGATGTTACGCTCTAAGATATTCTCTTCAATTGTCCAACATACTTGAAGCTACGTTCCAAGATCTTTTCTTCAAATTTCAATCATCAGTGATGCCACGCGCCAAGATCTTCTCTTCAATTTTCCAACATCATTGACGCGACGCTCTAAGATCTTCTGTTCCATTTTCTGACATCATCAATGCTGCGCTCTAAGATCTTCTTTTCATGTGTCCAACATCACTGACCCTTAGCTCGGCGATCTTCTTTTCAATATTCTACAGTAACATCATTGATGCTACGTTCTTGGATCTTCTCTTCAGCTTTCTACTATCATTGACGCTACGTGCCAAGGTCTTCTCTGGTATTTTCTAACATAATCAACTTTCAAACATTTCATCATCATTGCTATACTCCAAGATTGTTTCTTCAGCTTTCCAACATTCTACCATGAGTGATTCTACGGTCTAAGATCTTCTCTGGATTTTTCTCACATTCTACCCTGATTCATGCTACCCTTCAAGTTTCTAGCAAAGTTGTTGCTACGCTCTTAGATCTTCTCTTCGATTTTCTTACATAGTACTGCGTTGATGCTACTCTCCAACATTTTCCTTTATTTTTTTAGCATCATTGATCCTCTAAGGTGTTCTCTTCATCAACTTTCAAACATTATACCAGCACTGACGCAACGCTCTAAGATCTTCTCTTCAGCTTTCTAACATAATTGACGCTACCAAACTTGAAAAAAACGCCTTTCCAGCAAAACCGTTTTTTTTTCAAGATGCCAACTCTGCCATGTATTTCTACCAGCATGCAGCCACTCGCAGCCATTCACAGCCGCTTGCAGCCACTTGCAGCCACTCGATTGGCTGCAAGTGGTTGCAAGTGGCTGCAAGTGTCCGCAACTGGAGCAAGTGGCCGCAAGTGGCCGCAAGTGGCCGCAAGTGGCTGCTCCACATACTTCCAAGCGAGTGGCCGCAAGTGGCCGCTTTCGGCCAAATCAATTTCCACCCTCAAAGCAACCCCCCTGGAAGTTTAAATTTAAGCATGTGTGGAATTCACGAAGTGCTAAGAGATTTGCTTTCAACCGAAGGCAGTGCTGACAGCAGTTTCAGACGCGTCAATCCGTTGGGAATGCCAAGCAGAGATGCTCTTTGCCGGACATGACTTGCGAAATGGACCGACAAGGGTATATGAGCCAGATGAATGGAAAAACACATGTTTGCAAAGGAGTACTTGCAGAAGACAGCAGCTTCGTGTGTTTCAGGATGATCTGATGTTTCTTCTCAGATGGTGGTCTTACTGTAAAACTGCAGAAAAGCACCGCGCTCAAATGCATACAATGCACAAGTCCTTCAAAGAACGAAGGTCTTGGAAAGCTGGGAAGAAGCCCTCCATCGAAGCTAAGTACTGGCATGCTCCGTCAGTTCTCGGAGGCACGGTCCAACGCATGGGCCCGGATGGCCCCAGGAACTTTGCACATGGCCTCTAGCTGATTTACTGTTTAATACAGTCTTGATAGTGATGAGGCACAAAGCAATCTGGTGGCGCTTTGTTGCCGCAACATATCACAATCTTGCTTCACTTGCAAGGAGGTGGTGAAGGGTGCTTTGGACAATCTTAAGGTGGGTGTGGGCAGCCATGACTGTGTCATAGCAAATGTCCAGCTGATGAAGTTGAAACAAGACCGCTGGCCAAGCCAATACTAAGCCACCTGTGAACACCATTTCCCGCATAGGCAGCAAAGCTTCGTTTGTTTGGAGCTGGAGCTGTGGTGCTGAAGGCCAGGATCCAAACACCTTGAAATCCTTGAAGATGGGCAACCCTTTTACCCATATTTCACATATTTAAGCTGTTTTCACTGATATTCACAGTCATTCAGAGTCTGTGCAGTTTTGGGAAGATGCACTGGACAATTCTTCGACCGGCCATGCGGCCATGGCAAGGCCATTGCCATTTTCTTGGATCAAGCTGACAGGGAACCTCGAGTGGAGGACAGCAAGAACCTTAAGAGCATCGTGCGACTTGATGATATCCGAGAAACCAGAACCATGATACTTTGCGATCTTGATTTTCTAAATCCAATGGTTTACATCAACCTTTTGTTGAATCGTGCCACAATCTTGCAGCATTTTGTTGTTGCCTTGTCAACGGAAATGTGTCAGAACGGTCATGCCGTTGACAGCAGAGCCTCGCCCCTCGTGGATCTCGGCTCGACTCTTTAGGCGACAGCGATGACTCTGGCTCAGAGTCTGCTCGCCCACCAAAGCCGCTGCCTTAGTGTCTGGCAGAGGTCAAACAGCACGAAATAGTTAGAAACTGTTAGAATAGTTGGACGACTTTGATATATATTGATAATCTGATAGGTCCCAGTTCGACAGCATTATGCATATTATGCAGCATATCTATCTAGGCCCCTTCCTACTGTGCTGAGCAACCTTGAAGGCCAGTGTCTATGAATCTATCATTGCAGACGTAGCAGATTCTTATGGGCTCATTATATTGACATATTCTTGCTCTTGCTGTTTGAACGCAAATAAGTGGGGTCTTTCCTAAGCTTTGTTGCAGGTCATGCGTGGAACATTGTGCTGGCCATGATCTTCTGCGGGGTTCTGGCCTTACGCAGAAGCACGTCCCAGTGATGTCCAGTGAACCTTTCACGTGTTTGAAGTCACTTTGCGCTCAGACCGCAGCTCCAAAGCTGAGAGGGCAGGCTGGGACCTGCTTCACGTGTGCTCACATGATCCTGAAAATTCTGAGCCACGGTGTTCTTGTCACAGGGGCATGATTTGGCATGATGCAGTGATGTCTCTGGCAGGTTCATCCTGGCTACCTTTCCTCAGTGTTGAAACCTGCTTTCGGAGTGCCCCGGTTGCAACAAAGAATGATATTGCGCGAGGGAATGCGAGGGACAGGATTCAAGGCCCTTAACCACACTATCTTTATTCTTTAGAAACAAAATGAAAAACACAATTACATCAAAGAGTATAGAGTGCAGTATTTACCGTGCACTATATACATTGTGAATTAATCATCCCAAAAACAAAGATGTGCTTCTCGTGCCTTGAGATGGTGAGGCAATTGCTGGAGAAGTTCCACTTTCCACTGGTCTCACAAAGGCAGCGAGAGGGAACTTCAGGGATAGGTCGGATTTGTTTTTGCTGTCTCCCTGAAGGAGCAGGAGGATGTTGTTTGCAGCAGTGGCAAAGGCTTCGTTGAGACTGCCCGTGCCTGGCTAAGGCCAGCCTTGTTTTTTGCGCAGAATTATATAGTGGTTCAGATGGGGTGATCAGGTAGTCAAGCATGAATTCTGTCACAACCTTTTGCAATCGTCTAGGCAGCTTGCCTCGAGGGCTGATGACAGCGAGGCTGAAACTACAATAATTCAATGCATAGACCAAGCTAGATCACCAAAGCCATGAGGAACAAATTGTTCCACTTCTGAATTCCTGGTCAAGCTGGTTCACGTTAACTTGCATACGCTGGAAATGGCTCTGATCTCGTTTGCAGGTGAAATAAATGTGAAATACATGTCCATATTTTTCACTTTTTTTCAATACTGCAGGTCCAGTGTTGCTTCCACTCGGGTGCCTGAATATGTAGCTCCGCAGAAATTCAGGTGTTGCGTTTTATGCACACCGGCTTTGTGTCAGATTCTCAAGACATCGCAAGACCCTTCTGACTGTACATCATTTACCATCATTTTTACATCATTTTTACATCCCTTGCACGAGAGCTTTTAAGGATCAGAAAATCCGAGGCGCCGACAGGGAGCACGAGACTTTGCTCAGCTAGGCTTCGAGCCTCCACCACCTTCTCGAAGCCGTGCAAATACGGAGATCGAAGGCAGCTGCAGTGATGAAATTTGATGATTGTATAATATACATATACATATACATATAAACATCAATTGATATTTATTGCTTCTTTGAACACTTGTGTCACTGGTGCATCTATGTCATCTTAGCCGTGCTCATAGCCATTTTAGAGGTATTTTAGTCTACCGTCCCTGAGCAAACTGTACTGCACCCCTGCAGCCACGGTGCAGTTCGCACGGAGCCAACTCCGTCTCCAAAGCCTCGCATGAGCATTCGGCACAATCCCGAGGAGGAGGTGTCGGAGTTGGTTTCTGTTGAAAAAGCCTGCTACATTGATTTTGAATGATATATATATATATATATAGAGATTCGATTATAATTATATATATATATAATTATATATATATATAATTATATATATATATTGTGATTTCAGACATGTGAACATCCATGCACTCAGTCAAATCCACCTTTCACATTGTCCTTTAGGGCTCAGTTCCAAACTCAGGGGGTTGCGGACATAGGCAAAAGCCCAGCGTGTGCCGGGGTGCGCAATAGCTGCTTGGTGGACCGGGGAGTCCTTAGGAAACCTATTTGGACCAGGGGTCATTTGGTATACTTTCTAGGTCGAGGCGACCATCAGTTGTTGAAGTTGAGAAGAAGGAGAACCGCTACCAGTTACAAACTGGTAGCGGAGCTACGGCTCCTCACTGCATTGCCTGTCTAGCTGCCGCAGTGGAAAGGAGAGATCCAGGATGCCAGAAGGCGATGGAACTGGAGGTGCTCAGCCAAGTGGGGCATCAAACCTCCCTTGGCACCTGATCCCGAAGTTCACTCCTGGAGAGACGGATGTCAATGAGTACACCCGTCGGATTGAGTTCCTGGCCAACATCTGGCCGAAGGAACACCTCAGCCAGCTGGCCCCGAGGGCATGTTTGTTGTGTGAAGGTACTGCCTTTTCGAAGGTTGTGAGGCTTGACGCGGAGAAGCTCAAGACACAGGACATCGAAGGGGTGAAGCTGCTGGTGAAAACGTTAGGTGGTGTGTGGGGGCAAACAAAACTGGAAACCAAGTATGAACGATTTGAACGTGCCATTTTTGGAACGACCCAGAAAGCTGATGAAACAAATACCAGTTATCTTGCTCGTCATGAAGTCCAGTATGAAGAATTGACCAATATGGGGGCTACGTTGGAAGAGATGAGGGCCTACATCTTGGTACGAAACTCTGGGCTCAGTGCAGAAGATAAGAAAAGAATCATTGTTGACTCAGCAGGAAATCTGGAATATTCCCAAGTGGTAGCGTCAATGAAGTTACTGGGTTCCAAATTCTTTGGAGAGATTCAGACGGGAAGCAATCAGAAGAACAATCCTCGAAACAAAACCTATGATGTGAACTATGTGGATGATGGTGAACCATGGATGGATGAAGCTGATGAAACGGCCTTCGTCAGCGTTGAGGCCGCTGAAGAAGCAGGTCTTGAGACACTGCTTGCCGAAGGTGATGAAGACGCCTTGATGATTCACCAGTTCGAGGACGGTCTGATTGAATCTCTACAATCAGATCAAGAGGTTGCCACATGCCTAGCCACCTATTTAGAAGCCAGGAAAAGAATCAGTGAAAAGGTGAAGAGCCGGGGATTTTGGAGTCCCAAGCCCTCCAAAGGGTTCTCCGGAAAAGGGCGTGGAAAGTTCAAAGGAGGTTTCAAGAATCAATTCAGAAAGCCGTTGGCCCAAAGGATCTTGGAGTCAACATGCCGGATTTGCCACCAGAAAGGACACTGGAAGGCAGAGTGTCCCATGCGTAACAAATCCAGTGGCTGCCAAGTTCCATCTGGAAATTCAGCGTTTGCAGGTCTGACAGTAGCTCATGAGGCCATGACTGCTAACCTTGAGAGTTTCCATTTGGTTGATGATGCGCCTCCACCTGATGCCACAGCCTTTCACTATGAGGAAACCTGTCTAGTTACAGTTGTGCAGCCTTTTGGGGAGGGTAACTCAAGGGGTAATAGTATGGTAAAATTCCCAACATGGCATAGGAATTTTTCCCATCGCCTCCATGCGGTTCTCAGGAAGATGCCACCGAATGAAGCCCATGATCCGTGCAACCCCCTGAGCCAAAAGCATGTAGTGCAGTTGCCTGATACCTCGGAAGAGGTCGCTCAGTTTGCGTCCCATGGAACCTATGGCATAGTAGATCTAGGTGCCAGTATGTCTGTGATTGGTGAAGCACAGTTTCGTGACCTTTGCCGTGTGTTGCCCCGTGACATCAAATGCGCCATGAAAGAGGCTCCATGCTCAGTGAGTTTCCGATTTGGGAACGACAGTACAGTGATTGGTCGTAGGGCAGTATACTTCCCAGTTGGCTCGAAATGGATTAAGGTAGTCATCGTTCCATCGAACACACCTTTTCTTATTGCCAACAGTGTTTTCAGGTCCCTTGGTGCCATGATCGATGTTGCTAGTGAATGCATTCGCTTCAAAGAGCTTGGGAAGACTGTTCCGATGCAGCTGACCGATCGTAAGTTGTTTCGACTTGATCTCCTGGAACTCTTGAAAAATGCAGAAGCTCCGGGAACCAACATGGTCATGATGATGGAAGAACAAGAAAAAGGCTTCCAGGTATCTCATGCACAGGCATCTCATACCCTGCCAAGCCCTTCGGTCGTATTTTCTTCGTCACAGAAGCCTGAAAGCCAGATGAATTTCTGTCCAGGGGGATCTGAGAAGGATAACACTGTGCCCGGTCCCCAGCAAGATCGGCTCGATAAGCTGCCCAACGAAGAGAACCGTCCAACAGCGTTGTGCCGTCATGTCCCAAGCACCAATCGAGAAGCAATTCGACAATCTGGCCGATCGCCTGCGTCGCCTCAGCCTGACGCAGAAAGATCCACAAGAGGACCTGAACCAGATCCTGAAGATGCCTCTCGAGGAGTTGATGGAGGAGCGAGTGGCCTTTGGCAAGGCCCACATCGGCAAAGCCTTCAAAGACCTGACGTCCGAGACCAAGTATCTCAGCGGGTTTGCCGAGAACTTCCGTCACAGCCAGAAACCGGAGCATGTCAAACTGCTGCGATTCATCCAACTCCATGTGGAGACCTTGGAAGGACAAGTGCCCCGAAAGATCGTGCCCAAGGCCAAGGCGATGTTTCCACCGGGAACAGCAGCCTCTCCCATCGACTTGGAGGACGAAGAGGAGGAGACATGGGATCATCTGAACGAAGGTCAGTCATCCGAGATGCTGCAGATGCAAGATCGCATGAACAAGGTGGAGACGATGCTTCACGAAGTTCTGCAACACCTGACACGCCCGAATGCCCAGCAGCCGAATGCCTGAATGCAGCATCCGATACATGTCTCCCAGTGCCACCGTCCGTAGTAGCTGACATGTGTGAAGCAATCCATGATGTGTACAGCAAATTCAATTCTAATATGCAAGGTTTTGGATTAGAGGAGTATGGGGACTCTATCCTTTATACCCGGGAAAATAACTGGGTAGCCAAAGAAATGTGGGAGCATTTTGCTCAACAAGGGATCTATCCCAATTCACCTGTGCTGACAATCCACAAAGCAGACTTGTTGGAAATCTACTGTAGTTCTGACAGCCAACTCACCAAACAGGCCAAGTCAAAAGGATTGTGGGCAGAGAGACATGGACTCGCTGAGGGCGATCTCACCACGGCAGATGGCCGATGCAAATTGTATGATCGCCTGCTGCAGCTGCTCCCAAAGAATGTTTGGTTGTCTCCAAAGTGTCGAGCCTGGTGTCGGTGGAATGAATTCAATCGTCATCGTAGTGCAGAACTTGCTCAGAAAGTCATGCGAGCTCGTGAAGCCGACCAGGTGCATTTGTTGCTTTGTGATGCCATTTTTGAATTTCAAATGACCAGGTCTCAGCATAGCCATGCACACTTAGAGCAACCAGCCGGATCCCAAATGCTGTTCCAAGAAGAAATGGAAGCAGTCCTCGCACAGTCGTTCCTGGGCCGTTGTGACATGTGCACCGCTGGTGCATTGAAGCATCCAACATCCGGCATGCCATTGCAGAAGGGAACTCAGATAATCACATCATCCCAGATTATGAAGCACCGTGTGGATGCACTGAAATGCCAACATGACCATCAGCATGACCATGTAGCAGGTTCCTGTATGGCGCCAGGCATGGGCCGCGTCATGGTTTCCCAGTACAGTGAACTTTACACTAGGATGTTTGCTGAGAAGATGGTAAAGTGTTTCCTCTGCAGTGCAGCCGTGGCAGAACGCAACAGTGCGGCCACTCTGTTCCAAGAAGCTTTTGTCACTCGACCTGCCGAAGATCCGTCTGAGGATGCAAGCCTTCCGAAACGGATGAGACTGGATGAGAAACAAACGCCTAGCGCTGCCTATTTGCAATCGATTGCGCAGGAACAACAGCTACAGAAGTGTTTACAAATGGCCATTAAGGAATCCCCAAGAGTAGGCAAAAGGGTCTTTTGGAATGGAGATTTACTTAGTGAAGTCCAACAACTGTTTCCGGAGGTAGCTATCCAGTGCATCGAAACTTGCAAAGGCGCTGATCGTCGCCGAGCACCGCCTAAGGAACTTGACAGAGCTCGGACACCATGGCGAAGATCTCTTGGTTTAAATCGGATAGATGGGAAAATTTTTTTGTGATCCTCAATGGGAAGAATGGAGTCGAATGACCCGCAAAGACCTAATCAGAAAATGTCCACCATCACGTATCCTGGTAACCGTGTTTGCCCAAAAGAAGGGAGATCAATCGCCAGAGCCATCCAGTATCTCTTCGGAGGCAACTGCCGATAATTCAGAACCCGCAGCCAAACGTCTGCGCCATGCCGAGCCCCTGAGTCCTGACCTTGCCCCAACCCGGCAAGTTCCGAACGTTCCCGAAGTAGAAAATCCTGCGCCCTCCGGGCATCATGCGTCTCATGGTCCAAAGTTCATGAAGTTGAGCCCTGAACAGAAACAACAGCTTTTGAGAATGCACAACAACCTTGGTCATCCCGATGCAACGTTGCTTGGAAATGTCCTAAGGGATCAACAATGGCCTGCTGAAGCAATAGACGGAATTCGAGACATGCACTGCCCAGCTTGCTTCGAAAACCAGAAGCCAAAGCTAGCAAGGCCAAGCCACCTTGGAGAGAGCCGGCAATTCAATGACGTGGTCGCCATAGATGCAGTCACATGGACTAGTGCATCCGGCCAGAACTTCACCTTTTATCACATGATAGATATGGCCTCAAATTATCAGATCGCCTTTCCTTGTGAGCATCGACCCAACTGTGAAACCATGGCCAAGTTAGTCACCCGTCATTGGATTCAATGGGCAGGTCCCCCAGGTATGCTGGTACATGACAGTGCTGGCGAGTTTTGCGGTGAAGAATTTGGACAGTTCTTGCAAAGCTATGACGTTCGCAGCCGAGTGATCCCTGCTGAATCACACTGGCAACTCAGCCGTTGCGAAAGACATGGAGGGATCCTGCAAAGCATGTTGGACAAATGGCAAGTACGATTTCCGATTGCTAGCTATGATGATCTAGAGCAGGGTTTAGTTCAGTGTACAGCAGCCAAGAATTCTCTCTCCCGTCACCGAGGGTATAGTCCAGAGATTCTAGTACTAGGTAAGTCTAGACATCATCCTGCAACTAATTCCACCAACGACGAGAATACAGCTGCTGAACAGATGCTAGAAGGGTCCCCTGAAGAATCATCTAGTGGAGCACAAGCATTCATGAAGAACCTGGAGATGAGAGAGCAAGCCAGACTAGCCTTTGTCCGTGCAGATCATGACGTCAAGCTTAGACGAGCTTTGCTACGCCGCAACCGTCCAATGAGAGAAACGTTCTCAACAGGACAATGGGTGATGTATTGGAGAAATGGAAAAGGGGCACAACCAGGTATGTGGAATGGCCCAGCCAAAGTAGTCCTATGTGAAGATCATAATGTGACCTGGATAACCCACCAAAGTAGGTTATACCGATGTGCACCTGAACATCTCCGAACTCTTTCCGAAAGGGAAGCCAAGACACCCGAAGTAGCTGGTCAGGCACAGCCAATCCAGTTCCCTGCAGCCCTAGGAACCGGGGTTTTCCAATATCATGACCTGACCAACCAAGGAACGATTCCCAGTGACATGCATAGCCCACCAGCCAATAATAACTTTCCCAATAATCCGGATCCAAGTATTCCCAACGTGAACACCAATGAGACTAACGATCACGCTCATAATCCCAACCTCAATAGTCCCCATAACGGAGTCACTAACCTTCCTGAGTCGGGTACAGAACCAGAGGTCCAACCAGATGCCGAACCCGATGCCAATAGCCAGAACTCAGGTACTCAAACACCACCTCAAAATTCCCCTGACATCACCAATCCAGATTATCATCAACTACCATCCGAGATACCCCGTGGAGGTTTAGACGTTGCAATTCCTGAAAATGATGATGACAATAGCCTCATGACCACTCACCTAGATCATTGGGAAATTCAATCCAATCAAGTTATCAGACATCACGTTCAACCCCGACATAAACTGTTCCAACCATATGCCTGCGAGGATTGTCCCATCAATCCAGAATGGCTCACATCCCAACGAACCAGCAACATCCATACAATTCATGATCAGGAATGGTCCCAACAAGATGAGTGGCGAGGGAACATGTGCGCGCACATGAGCATGCCAGTGCCGTGGACTGGTAGCACAGTCTTTGTCATCAAGCCAATGCACCAAAAGGAGTGTCCGACTCAACAACAATATGTGAACTACTGCAATGCCCAACCACAAAAACTGTGTGAAATAAGCCTTGTACTCGATGCACAAGAAATCATGAACTGTTCACAACAGGAACCGTTGGAACAAATATCGTTTTTGGCATCCAGCGCAAAGAGACAAAGATCCGAAGTTAAAGAGAAATCTATGACTCCTCAAGATAGAGCTCTTTTTCAGGCCGCCAAAACCAAAGAAGTTGTTTCATGGTTGAGCACCGAGACGGTTCGCAAAATTGCCAGGTCCCAGATCCCTGAAGATCAGATCTTGCGATCCCGTTGGGTATTAACTTGGAAACCCCTGGAAAAGCCCGTTGATCAAACTGATCCCATCACTGGGGAGACCAAACAAGTAACCCACAAACCGAAAGCAAGACTTGTAATCCTGGGATTTGAAGACCCTCAGCTGGAAAACCTAGCGCGTGACAGTCCCACCATGGGACGAGATTCACGGTCGTTGATATTCCAGTTTGCTGCATCATCCCGATGGCGTATTAGAAGCTTTGACATCCAGACAGCGTTCCTGAGAGGACGCCGACAGGATGGCAGAATCTTAGGAATGGATCCGCCAGAGGAAATGAGAGCACACATGAAATTAAAGCCCTGGGAATGCTGTGAACTACTCAAGTCCGCCTACGGACTCTGCAATGCTCCTTTGTTGTGGTATGAAGAATTGAAGGGTGCTCTCCTGAGTTTAAACTTCAAGATGAGTCCTTTGGATCCATGCGTCTTTGCCCTGCCCCGAGCCGATGGTAAAGGGATTCACGGCATAGTTGGGATCCATGTTGACGATGGACTAGGAGCTGGTGATCATGTATATGAAAGTGCAATCAAAGAACTTGAAAATCGCTATCCTTTTGGCAGTAAGTTGGAGACCGATTTCACTTGTACAGGCATTCATGTTCATCAGAATTGGGACGGATCAATAGAACTTGATCAATGCAAGTACATTGAAGATATCCCCAATATCGAAGTTCCTAAATCCCGCCGTCAAAACCTGGACCAAGCGGTCAATGACCATGAGAGACAATCCCTTCGTGCGTTGGTTGGTAGCATACAGTATGCGGCATCCAATACTAGACCTGACCTTTCTGCCAAACTCAGCTTATTACAAGCCAAAATCACATCAGCAACCATCAAAGATTTACTAGAAGGTAACCGACTATTACAAGAAGCCAAAGCCCACAAAAACACCAAAATTACATATAAAAACATCCCCATCCACGATCTTCGCTTTGTTTCATTCTCTGATGCATCATTTGCCTCTCGTGCCAATGCCCAATCCCAAAAAGGATGTTTGATACTTGCAGCTTCAAAATGTATTGGTGAATGGCAGGCCAGTAGTGTCAGCCCACTGTTATGGTATTCTCGCAAGATTGCTCGTGTGGTTGCCAGCACCTTGGCATCTGAGGCATATGCCTTGAGCGGTGCGGTGGATCTATTATCATGGATCCGAATTCACTGGTCTTGGATGTGCCAACCTAGCAACGAATGGAAGAATCCCGAACAGTCTTTATCTAAGGGGCCCGAAGCATATGCTGTAGTCGACTGCAAAAGTCTCTATGACCTCATACAGAAAACAACCATCCCACAATGCAGTGAACACCGTACCATGTTGGAGGCATTGGTCATAAAAGACCGGATGAAGGAGGGTGTCGTGATGAAATGGGTACATTCTGCTGCCCAGTTGGCCGACTGTTTGACAAAACATATGGACTGTTCAGCACTCAGAGATTTTCTTCGACAAGGACGCTGCATAATACACGATGTGGCCGAAGTGTTACGCGTGCGTGCAGACAAGCGATCCAAGAAGGCATGGATGAACCAATTCCATGAGGATTCAGCACTAATTCAGGGGTGATACTGCAGTATCAATGCTCTTTGTATAGTCTTTTGTTTTACTTAATTAGTTTATCATTTTTGACGAGTGTGATTTCAGACATGTGAACATCCATGCACTCAGTCAAATCCACCTTTCACATTGTCCTTTAGGGCTCAGTTCCAAACTCAGGGGGTTGCGGACATAGGCAAAAGCCCAGCGTGTGCCGGGGTGCGCAATAGCTGCTTGGTGGACCGGGGAGTCCTTAGGAAACCTATTTGGACCAGGGGTCATTTGGTATACTTTCTAGGTCGAGGCGACCATCAGTTGTTGAAGTTGAGAAGAAGGAGAACCGCTACCAGTTACAAAATATATATACAATTATATATATATATATTGATTGATTGATCTGTATTGAAGGTTTCAAGTCTTGACCGGTTTGACCAGCTTTTCTTTTTGTATGTTGGAAATGGCCGCATAGCCTGCTTTTGCAGCGATTCGCAGGCAAGACTCAGGGCAATTTTCGACCAGTGTGACACCAATGGCATGCCTGGCAATTTGGAAGTCTGACTCAGAGAACGAGCTCCGTCTTTAGACCGAGTCATTACTGCTCATGTAGACACACCATCTGGTATGAATCGAGTCATGCTTTAGACATGTTATGGTTTGGGTGTGCTTCATCAAGGTAGGACATGTTGTTGCACAGAGTTTCACTTGCTTCGTTACAGGAGATGGCACACTAAACAAGCGTTTGCCTTAGTCGTTCTTTTGGTAATGGTTGCACAATGCCGAAGTCTGTCTTTTTTGAATCTGTCCAGAGTTTGCACCATTCCTAAGACGAGAGCTGATCAAGATGTGTCGTGCCAGCAATCGGCTCAGACTCGCGGAACGTCAGCTTTTCTCCTGTCTTTGGTACTCTCATTTTGGCTTCAATGACAATCATTCGCTCCTGTCGGTGCAGTGGAATGAATTGATGAGTCTGTTTGATCTGGATCCAAGGTGCGGACACAGCAGAGTTTTTTGGTTTGCCAGCAAATATCCGACAGGATTGCAGTCGGACTGGAGTGGATGCTAGATGTGTGTTGATTCGCCACAAGTGTCAGGAGGATGGAACAAGAGATCTTCTTGAAGCCAAGCAGGTATTCCCAGCACGGGTGTTGTGCCGGGAGCCGTTAGGCCCGTAGGGCCATTGTGGTCCAGAAGTGCCCGGATCGAGAAGTCCCGGTTTTGGAAAAGGCTACCAGTTCCCAGTTGAGAAGTCCCAATGAGGTGCACCGTTCATTGCTGTTGCCCTGCCAGGTGCTATTTCACATGTAGCAATGTAGCGAATCTCCTGAGGATTCAAACAGTGAGCCCGAGGTTTCAGAAGATGGACCAGAACAGTGACAGGGAGGTGGGATGTAGGTGATTCAAACATATTCACAATCTACAACCTGTTACAACCTGCTACCTGATTATGTTTCAGCTCATGTTATGGAGCAGGTGAACTGGGAGGAGCGAGATGCCCAGACTCTTGATATCTGTCGCAATGAACAGAATTGCACTGCTTGTTCAGATTCTCAGATACTGTATTTTTTTGTTGTTTATCCGGTTTATCCTGTTTGGCATCACCATAGGTTCTGCGAGTGGTACGAGTGTGAAGTCCTGCTTGACCCTTAGAGAAATGATGTTGTGTTGTGTTCAGTCTGTGCAATTGAAATCCAAAGTCTCATTTTGAGGTTGGAGCAAGAAAGGGCGTCGCAAGTAGGCTCATTCTGATCAATTCTGATCCATTGTTTATTGATGTTTATTGGTATCTCATGGTATCTCATGGTATCTCTGGAGCACGTGGCCTGATAGTAGGCGAAGCAGAGGCTTCGCCGAAGATGAACAGTGATGTGCCGGTCAACGCGAGGGGACCAAATGTGGATGGAGCATGAGTAGCGAAAAGGCCTTGGTGGCCTGTGGACATATGGCCAAAGTTCAAGGTAACTCTGGATATCCTGTTGTTTCATGTTGTTTCTAGATGTTTCTAGTATGGTACATTCCATGTGCTGTGGAATTCCTTCAACATTCAAACTGATCTAAACTGAAGCAATCTGAGCCAGCACCTTGAGGTCAAAAAGTCCTTGGTTGGAGAGGATGACACAGACTCTGAGGACGAGTTGCCACCACCACCTGCCCATACAGGACGCTGTTGAGAAGCGCTCAGAGCAGTGCTCTGATGGGTGGGCTCTTGCTGTTGCAGGATTCGCCAGTATTCAAGCTTTGACAAGCATGACATCTGATGGACGGCTGTTGGTGGAGGATGTGGAGGACCCAGTTTCCATTTGGTGCACAGGGGCTGTAGGTTGAAGTGTTTCAACTTGAACTGCGACTTGGGCGCAACATTGGGCACGCGTGGCAGGATTTTGAAGAGGCTGGGCAAATGGGAGGTTGTTCTGGCCATTACAAATGTTGTGAGTCATGAGAGCCGTCTGTTGGGCCATGTCAGGTGGCGATCTCTCATGGTTGAAATAGCTTGCCAACTGCTTTAGCAGCAGAACTTGCATGTCGAAGCCATCTATATAGCTGATCTAGCTGCTCCCAATACTTCAGAGCCAAATCAGCATGGAATAGCTGTGTCATGAGTCACCAGTTTGTCTTTAACCGAAAGGAGGCTGAGCGGGAGCATCAGCCTATCAGCTTTTACTTATTTCAGCCCTTTCTTTTCTACTAGTACTTGTGACATGGTGCATTGGTTTGCTAGTCATACACCATTCATACACCATTCATCGTAGGTTGCGATTGGCCTTTTTGTGCCTTTTTGTGCCTTTAGTTGGTCATGAGTTGGTCATGAGAATCATGTTTTGCACTTCCAAGAGTCATTGGTGTTCGTGATTCGCTTCGGGCCATGGGATTTCAAGATGAGGGCGAAGTCCTCAGCTGGCAATCCTTCAGGCTGGTCAGAGTCAAAAGGTTCCACTGGATCTGAGAAAACAGACTGCTTACAGGATCTGTAAGTCTTACAGAGTTCATTTGGATAGCACCAGCATGCGCACAGATTTTACACTTTGCTAGGATATTGTTCTCTATTCTTTCCTAGTTAGTTTCGCAAAAGCTGCTTCACAAGTGACCGGTTTCCTCCATCTTTGCAGACGTCCTGTGTGCCTGGACGTTTTCCAGGCTTGCTGTGGGATTCCTGGGTCTGGACCCGTTTCGAGAGATGGGCAAGCAGCAGGTGAAGCTGCAAATACTTGGTGCAGGTTGGTTCACTGGGTCATTCCATTTCAAAATCCGTAGCACTTGCAACAAAATCAACCAATACATTCAATACATGGTCCAATACCACGAAAGTACGAAGTGACGATTCTTTCTCAAGTTACCCTGATTTGACCCGTAAACATTTCTCCATGGTCATAGCTGTCATAGCTGCTTCTCAAATTTTAGCGTCGCCATGTTTGAGATTCTGGTGTCACCTCTGAAGGCTTTTCTCGGTCTGGCACCAAATCACTACAAGTGGCCCTAGCAAAGCTGGGGCACAAAATCTACGACACACGCTCGGTGCTGCAATGGGGACACGTGGCCTGCTTGCATTTGAGTCGGATCCATTGGATCCATTGGATCCATTGGAGCTTCAGTGGCCACTTTGCTAAGGCATCCGCTTGGATACAAGCTGCTGAGCAGTTGCGAAATGGAAACCATACCCTGCTGGAGGAGATGATTTCGACTTTGGAGGACCTCGGCTACTCGGTGAGCTGAAACTAACTCTGCCTGGCAGTGACTTTGGTAGTGACCCTGGTAGTGGGCATGACTACTTACCAAAACACACCCGTTCAACACAGCCTTCTCTGGGACATGCCATGGAAACAGTGTGATTGCTTGGCCAAGTGACGATGCTGCATCAGTTGCGGTATATATCAGAGGTGGCCTGAGGTTGCTCGATCCAGATTGCTAGGGATTGAACGCATTTTGTTGTTTTCAACCCTTGAAGGGACTGAAACTCAGGCTACACTGCCACAATGGACTTCCCCATGAACCTCTTTGCTTCATCGATGGCTCAAAGACGACCGTCGTCCAAGGTCATCATGACTGTAAGGCCGCCAGAGGAATGGCTGTCTTCCTGGGCCAACATCAATGACATCATGTCACTTTTAGTGGCAAGACCATGGGCCTGGCTGGTGGATATGACTTTCAACCAGCAGCTTCTAAAGGCTCGTTCCAGATTTTCCGACGTTCCGCATGCCAGTGAAAACAGGAGGTCATTGAGTCATTCAATCAAAATTATCAGAAATAAGCATGTTGCATCCCTATCTGAATCTATCTGATAGTATTCTGTTGCTTTCAAATCGCATTGTCTTGATCGCAGCACCAGGTTCTTTTGGACTTTGACTGGCCCTATCCGTCGTACCCAGCTCATATCTCGCGACCACTACCTTGGTTTGAGATTGTGACCTACTTGCCAGGGTTTAGTCCGGAGAAGAGACAGGACCATCGAAAACCAACTCTCACTAGCGAGAAGATGTGACACCAGTCGCGGAGAGTAGTGTTAAAATGTGTTGAACACATCCCAACTTTGGTTTTGAAAAAAGAACTTCTAGGCATTAGGAAGAGCTTGCGTCGAATCATCTAGTTCCTCGATGGCTAACTCAGGGGAATTAACAGCAAAAAACCATGGTAAGGTTGTTGCCCAAGCAGCGAGGACTGGATAGCTTTGCACCGACGCTTTCGGACGCAGCTGGAAGAGACACTGCCTTCAACTCGTTTGCTGATCTTTGAGGTCCGAGAGGGCTGGTGCGAGCCACAGTTTCGCTTTTGTTCTTTCACTTGCATATCTTGCTTCGCAATGAACAACCTGTAAAAACCTGAATCCCCTTGAAGATTTGTACCTAGGACAAACGTTTTTTGGAAGACCCTAGGCCATTTTTAAAAGCCGATGCCTTTGACGACTTATATAATTTTTTCTCACAGAGATGTACAGGCACAGAGTATCAAACTGCTCCACTAGTCTGCTCCACCAAGGCCCCCTCTTTTGGATTTTCTGGAAGTTGATCCACAGCTTGCTAGCTCGCTTGCTCGCTCGTCATTTCCCCATACCAACCAGATAGCCCACATGCGGATGGCTCGAGCGGTACTAGATATGCAATTTGTCTGCAAACAGAGCCAAAGAATGCTGGCTATGGATCAATACCTATACATACCATTTTTAGTGGGATGAACATCCATTTACCCGCTATTTTGGGGTTCACTAGGTACCAGGGTTTTGACCCCATCCCCTGCTAAAGAGGGATGCATCTTGTCAAAGAATAGATTTTATTTTGTCCTGTTTCGCAGCTTAGGATCGCCATCACCTTGCCATTGTGGTTGGTTCTGTCAGCTTGGCTCATTCCAAAGCTTGTCGTGAAGCTCTGTTGTTGCTGCATCCGCTGGACGCCAAGATTCAACGTTGCGAGATGGATTTGGAGATGGAAGCATGCGAAAGCCAAAACGCGATAAGGATGACAAGTGGATACAAATGGAGTGACTCGGAAAAGACAGATTCAAAACTTCCTCAACATTTTGCCGATTTTGCCTTTCTTTTCTTATTGAACCCTGGGTTTATCGATGAATAGCCTTCCGTTTGTTCATCATTTGAACAAGGCCACAGTTGCTCCGTAACGGTGCACAACGCAGACCGTTTCTCTATCCCTACTTTCGTGCCGTGTTTTGGCTGCGCCCCGATGCCTGACTTGCTCGGACAAAGGTTTCCGCTTAAGGATGGCAATTTAAAGAGCAGAGATGAACAGCAGTCTGCCTCTGCCAGCGGCGCACTTGGCCCATCGGCTGGGTCCTGCTGGGCAGCCCTCGTTACAGTAAAAAGTGCAAAAATAGTGAACAAGCGCAATTTTGCTGGCCTTCACAGACTTGACATGAAAGAAGTGCTGGCAGCTGTGAGCAGGTACAGCCGTTCAAGATACAAGTAGGAAGCTCAAGAGTGACACACTGCTGTTCAAGCTGGTGCAACCATTTTAGAGTGCACTGACGCACTGAGGAAGATGACAGAATGCAGGCAGAGAAGTTCTTGGAGTTTATTTTTGACCAGGTGCAGTCTCCAGTCGTGACCACCGCTTAGCACCATGGGACTGCGTGCCGTCTCTGGGTTTGCGGACAACTCCTTCAAAGTCTTTCCTAGATGTGTGTTGAAGTGAATGCAGGTCCAGAGCCAAAGAGAAGACGAACAGGTTCAGCTCAGATTATGAACTGCTTAAACACTTTCTGACTCAGAGCTGCGATAACGAAGTCTTTAATTACTGCGTTTACGTTTGCTATGAAGGGTCCGCTGATGCATGCGCTGTGCAGGGGATCACTCGAAAAGACTTTGAAGCGGCTTTGGCAGCTTCGCAGACTGCTCAGAGATCATACCAAGCTGTCACACCAAGATTTTCTGAAAGTGCAATCCGTACGTAGTGCACATTGTGTGAGTCTGTGTGCGTGTTTTCATAGACGGAAATTGGATTTTGAACTGAGAGCCTCAGGTGGGCGACTTATGGTGACTGTTTTGAGCAATCGGATGATGTCTCAGAGGTGGGTTTTGCGGTGATTTTGACACGTGCTTTGATGTTTGATGATGGAAAAGTGCTTCAAATCATGAACCATCATGAACCCAAGACCAGTTGACAGGATCTGGCAGAACAACCCGTGGCAGCGACCTCAGAGCACAGCATAGGCTCGTAGAGTCGTTTTCTCCGGCGATTTACCATGATTGGATTGTTACCTCTGCACAGCTGAGGGGCCATTGGAATTTGTGGATCACTTCCTCTCCCTGGACGCCAGTGTGGTTTGTGGCCTGATATGCTTGAAGTTTTTGATAACCTTAGAAGCAAGGGCCTCAAGGGTCAAAACTCAACGGGTTTGTGTTTCACACACTTTTGTTCTGTGTTGATGATTCTCGAAGATTCTTCAAGATTCTTGGACACCTAGTCTATTCACAAAAGCTAGCGTCAGCTAGCTGGAGTCTTCTTGCTTTAGCAAGTATTCCGGGGGCTGCTCAAGGACATCACGTGATTTTTCACGCGAAAGGGGGGGACCCCCCCCCTGTTTTTGTTTCGACCTAATACCTACATAGGTACATGCATGAGTATTGAGCACATTTATATGCGCCTTCAAGGCTCAAGAAAGAGGTATATAGAGTAACCCTGTAGACAAGCACAGACCGGCAACAGGCTGAGTAAAACAAGTGCTGTCATTGGGGAAGACGCCTTAGCTGATCTTGAAGTAGACGCTAGGGCCCCTCTTCAAGTGGTAGCGGAGCAGTGATCCCTCATTGAGGGTGAGCTCCAGGTAGAGCCCAAGAAATGGCAAGCCATGGCTATGATGATGATGACTTCGACATTGTCGATGCAAATGAATGGAACCAATATGACTCTTATGCAATGAGAAGAGCACCCCAGCAAACACAGATTCATATGACGCAACAGATGACCACAAAGGTTGCTCCAGCCTATGATGGGCGAACCAGCTTCTTTGCTTTTGAGGATGCAATTGATGACTGGTGTGACATTACGGAGTTAGAACCAGAGAAACGTGGTCCAGCATTGCGCAACAGACTGGAAGGAGATGCTCAACAATACAAGAGGCTATTGGATAGAGAATTACTCAGGGATCCCTATGAAGGAGTGGCTTATTTTAAAAGATTTCTACGACCTCATTTCATCAAAGGTGCCCAGAACGTGTTCTTATACCGTTTCATGCAGTTCATGAAGTTCAACAGAGGAACCATGGATCTTCAGAAGTGGATGACTAGATTTCAACTCACTGGCAATAGACTTATTGAGTCTTGGATGGATTTACTTCCAGAAGTAACAGTGACTAGTCCTGAAGCAATCCTGTTTGTTCAACAACGACGTCAAGAACATGAACGAGATCAACAAGAGAGAGCTGAAGTAGCAGCAGCCTCAGGAACACCCCATGTAGCTGTTCCTTGGACAGATGAACTGGCACTAGCGGCATTCAGACTATTTCAGGAAAATCGTAGAGAAGCACAGCGACAAGCATTCCCACTGGGTGAAAATTTGCTAGCATTGATTTTTGTAAGTCTAGCTGACCTGAGTCAAGATCAAAGAAACACACTCACAAGTATCATGACACATCGTGGACGAACTCTCGATCGATACAGCATTCAAGAACTACGTGACCTGTTCTTGGAAATGTTTTGCACTACCAAAACAGCAGTTGACAATCCATTGATGCAACCCTCTGGCATGGCACAGAGAAGATCTTTCCTCGTACTGGATGAAGGTGAATTAGAAGGAACCGACGGCTATTGGGCCGAAGATGAAGAAGACGGCGCAGAAGGATTCCTGGATGCTTTAGAAGATGTTTTCTGGGTTTATGATGACGCCAACTTCACATGGTATCAGAGAAGGTTCCAAGGCAAATACATCAGACGAGGCAAAGGTAAAGGAAAGAGAAAAGGAAAAGGAAAAGGCAGAGGAGGACGAAGATTCTTCAGATCAAGAAAAGGAAAAGGCCGAGGAAAAGGAAGAAAGAAAGGCCGCTCTCACATGGTGAGTGAAGAAGGTTATGAAGATGAATGGCAAGATGATGAATGGAATGAAAACTATGACGGCTATTGGGCCGATGATCAAACCTGGAATGAAGGCTATTGGGCCTATGATGATTCATACTACATGGATGAGTATGGATATTTCCAGAGGAAAGGAAAAGGAAAAGGAAAAGGAAAGAAAGGCAAGAAAGGCAAGGATGATGATGGAAAAGGAGGAAAGCCAGGAGATGGAAAAGGCAAGTCGAACTATGTTCAACCTCAGACCACATCAGCTCCTGCCATACAGAATCAACAAACTCAACAAGCTCATTATTCTTCTGCAGCTTCAAGTTCTGGTCATGGTTTCTTTTCATTTGGAACAACTGAACCAGCACGTGTTGATGTTGCAGAGACAGAGCCAGCTCGTGTTGATGTTTTGACATCCACGTATTCAGCACAAGATGAACAACGACGCACTCGTCGTGGAGGACAGAACCAACGTGATGCAAGAGCACATCAAAACAGGAGAGAAATGAAGAGATTCCCTGTTCTGGTTGGAGAAGTTGGTGCACTACGACAAGGTGTACAACAACGTCCAGCTGTAGTGCCCAGGCAAGTTGGTCTTCAAGAAGGTGAGGCTTCATGGAAGCCATTGGCAGAAGGCACATCATTGTTTTCACATGGATGCTCTACAGAGATAGAGGAACCATCACAGCAGAGTGCTTTTTCATTTCATACTGTACAAACTGATCTGGCATGTGAGAATGGACTAGCTTTTCACACAGAGAATTCTGCACCACCAACTGTGTGTATTCTGGATCTTGGATGCACAAGAGCTATGGGCTCTCGACGAGCAGTTGAAGCATTTTGCAGATATGTTGACTCACATCCCAACAGTGGACTCTGGTATGAAATTCAGCCAACAAGTTCAAGATTCTTCTTTGCAAACTCACAACAATCAAAATGTACTGAGAAGCTCGTGATATTCATGTATGATCATGGATGGAACACTCAGTTTACAGAATTCGACATTGTCGAAGAAGGTGATGTCCCATTGTTGATGTCACTTCCACAGATGAGAAACCTTGGATTTCAATTTGAACTTACTCCAGAGAAGGCTTATTTGTCCTGTGCACGTATTGGCATGAGAAAAATGGTTTTGAGGACAGCCATTAGTACTCATCTCATTCTCGACCTACAAGATGTAGCATGGTACATGAGCCAAGTTCATTTCAAGACTCCACAAGTCAAAAGTTTCTATTCACAACACGATCACTTTGAGTACAGTCAGATTGCTGTCAAACAAGATGATCATGAAGGAGAAGCTTTGGTGACTGGTGACTACTGGCAGGTTGATCCACTACGTCGTGAACTCATCAGGCACCACAAGGACAAGAGAATGAACTTACATGAGATGACTCGATCAGAGAAAACTCCAATTCCAAAAGATCAACTTCTTGATGAGAGAGAAACCCACATTGAATTCCAGAAGAGCAAGAAGAAGGTTCTTCACAAGGACAACTGGCGCACTGAGAAGAAGAGGTTTTCTGAACAGAGTGAAGAGTTCTGGAAGGGCAAGACCATCTACAAGATCAACGAGGACTACGTGATCCCAGATGACATTGTCAGAAGTGACATTGATCGTGCAAAGCCCTTTCGTGGAAACATTGATGATCTTTTTCACCCTGAGTCAGCCTCTTCAGTGCCATCAGGTGTACAGAAGAAGAAGCCAAGCTCCTTAAAGAAGGAGGAAGGCAAACCGATTTCAAATGGACCAGGCTCGAAAAAGATTGAGGTAGGTCCACCTGCAGCCAAAAGACACGTAGGTAAGCAGAAACCTCAAGTTGTCGATGACTCTCAATCAGGTTCATCAAGAAAGAAGGTTGTTGTCTCCTATCCCAAGCTTGATGAAGAAGATGAGCTTGACAAGGTAGCTAGGGAATTAGGTTTGGACAAGATTGATTCAGATGAACCTCAAGTCATTGAACCAAAACATTCTGCACCTGCGCGCAACCGTGGTAAGCAAGATTCAGAAAGTCAAGTTGAGAAACTAGGTAGTGATGCTCTTGAGCCTAGGCGAGTTTCGATTCCACTGCCTGGTAGTGAAGTGCAAGCCATGACACCAGCATACAGAAAGATGCTCAGGAAACTGGAGGATAGTGTGGAACTTTACAAGCTTCACATTAAACACTATCACATGTCTCCTACTCAATTCAGACGAAGGACTTCCATGTTAGGACTTCCTGACTCTGTTTATCAGAAGTATGAGGAGATGTACAACAAGTGTCGTGTGTGTAGTACTTCAATTGCACCACCGCCGCGAGCCAGAATTTCAGGCATACGATCCACCAACTTTGGAGATGTTATCTTTGTTGATCATGCTGAAATTCAGTTGAGGAAGAACAAGTACATGGTGTTGCTTGTTCTTGATGGTGCAACCAACTTACTTTGGGCTACGGCACAAAACTCACTGAACAACAAGGAGACCATTCAGGCTCTAAGGTTGTGGAGTGATGAACACAATTGTATGCCTAAAGCCATCGTGGGTGATGAAGCTTTCTTTCAAGAAGACTTTCTGACTTATTACCGAACTCATGGTATCAAAGAATGTCCCTGTGGTTCAAGAACCCCATGGCCTAACAGAGCTGAATCAGCTGTTAGACTTTTCAAACGACAATGGCAAATCATGTCCAAGAACCTTGAAGATGATAGGTTCAAAGGAATCACCATCAGAGAAGCTGTGAAGCGTACTGTTTGGGCCAGAAACACTCAACTCACTGTTAGTGGTTATTCTCCTTTGGAAATTGCCACTGGTAGAAGACCACCAGATCTTCTGGATATTGAGACTTCTGATCCTGCTCAACTTAGTGTTGATCCTTTACCTGAAGACAAAACACAACTCGAGTTGCAAAGGTTAGCGCTGAGGGCACATCAGGAAGCCAGACAAGCTGCTGACCTCAGACATGACATGGCCAAACGAACAATGCCATCAGATGGACCTTACAAACCAGGTGACAAGGTTTTCGTTTGGAGTTCCCCTGTCAATGCTAATGCTATTGCTTCAAAGGCATGGAAGAAGGAAAGATGGATCAGAGGTACTGTTATCTCTCAGGAAGGTGCTATGGTCAATGTTCATGTTGACAACGCAGTCATGCGTGTTAATCAATCGAAGGTGAGACGTGACCATGATGAATGGCATGATGTTGCTGTTCCTGGACTTGACACATCAGAACCTGTTCCACTTGCAGTTGAAGATGAAGATGACTATGAACCAGACATAG